GCCCCCCCGACGCCCGATAGCGAGGCTGGCTACCAGGATGGTGATTAGGGGTATGGCGAGGAGGAGGATGGCGATGGGCAGGGGGAGGAGGAGACGGACGTGGACGACGACGACGACGACGACGCCGAGACGACGACGACGACGACGACGACGACGACGACGACGACCGCAGCAGGCGCAATCTGCATCAACTATGCTGCAATACACCCTCTCGCCAGAAGGTGCGATGATGTTCCACTTTCACCCCGACGCCCCCGTGCATCTCCGACGTTCTCGGGCTACCCCGTCGGCTACCGCCGCTCCAACGCCCCTTGAACACCGCCCCTCCGACGCCCGAGATGCATAACCGATGCCGCAGTGCACTTCCCACGGGGGGGGGGGGGGGGGCTCGGCTACCGCCGCTCCGACGCCCCTGGTCCATGTCAAGCCGCCTTCGGGGGCCGTCTTGAGATCCTACCTGGGCCGTCTCGGTGCCGTCTCGCGCGAGAGCTTGTCCGACGCCCCTTGGCCACCGCCAGTGCGACGCCGTTGCCAGGCAGCCCTGCGCAACCAAACCTAGATATGACCATGTTTCTTGTTTTGCCGCAAGGGGCCTTACGGCCGCGAAACGCGCGCATGTAACTCGGGGCCGTCTTGGACGCCCCTGGGGCAATCTCGGGGCCGCCTTGGAGGCTTGCTTATCAGGCCGTGGTGGTGGGGGGGGGGGAGGGCGTCTTGGGCAACGGTGTGCCTCCTCCAAAAGGGCTTCGTTGTGGTCATCCTGGGGCTTCCTACGGCACCAGGCTTGCATTTGGCACGTCAGCCGAGTTGATGGAAGCTCGGCTCCTGGATTCATGTTGGGGCCTTTCTGGTTTTCCCAAGCCCCACCGCGCGTTTGTCCTGTGCGCCGCGGTGGTTCACCCGCAGCCTTCCGAGTCAATCCAACTAATTCTTGTTGTATGCATGTTTAATTTCGGCGACGGTTCGTTCACCATCGATGCTGCGCTAGGTGGGGCGACCTCTTCAGGGGAGCAATGGCGGATGGGATTGGCACAGCATGCCATGGGAAGCGGCGGCGCCAATCAGAGATCCTTGGCGGCCGCTGGGTCGGGCGGGCAAGAGTCCGACGATCGACTCGGCAAGTATTTGATCCAGGAGTTCAGCTGGGGCACATGCACGGCCATCGACTGCAACCGCATTGCGCTCCTGGCTGGCACGGACGGCGCGAGGGGAAGCATTCTCCACAAGATCTCCGGCGCCAGGACGTTCGGACAGAACCCGCAGAACTGCCACCGAGAGCTCATCACTTACTGCCAGCACCTGCTCGGTGGCAGACTGTTTGAGATCGCAGAGTGCACGTTGCCCATGGTCGTCACTCGGGGCGAAGAGATAGGACCGCAACCAGTAACGCATGGCTACATCGACCCCCACGAGTGGTTCAGCTTACTCTACAACAACTTCAGGGGTTCGTGGACAGCTCGTTTCCTGGGCGATGGTCCGAGCGAGACGAAATTGCGAGATTTGTGGGCTGGCATGCACCCCAGGGCCCCAGCAGGCCTAAGGACTACAACAAGCAACACTTCTACACGAAAGCAGTTCCAATCGGCTTGCATGGGGATGGAGCCCCAATCGCTCGGCTTCTTGGGTTGATGTCGATCGTGTGGTCCGGGATGTTGGGGTCGGGGTCCACCGATGACGCCTTGAATTTGATATCCTGCTACTTCGGCGAGCCCGAGGTCGGGAATTTCCACGACTACGAGGGCGAGACAACAAAAACACTTTCTGGAAGCGAATCGCGTGGAGCCGCAAAGCCCTTCGGACTAGCAGCTTCCCATTCCGCGACTAGGAAGGCACGCGGGTTGTCGGAGACCGTCGGTGCGGCACGGACTTGGCCGATGGTTATTTCTGCGAGGTTATGGCGCTCATGGGCGACATGGAATTTCTCGTCAACCACATCGGCGTCCCTGGGCACTGGAGCTCGAACCACCCGTGCTTGGCGTGCGAGGCCACGAAGATCGGAACGGGTCCGACAGCTTGGAACAATTGGGACCCCAGTGCACCATGGCGGGGCACAGTTTTCTTGCAGAAGAACAGGTGGCGAGCGCATTGCATGAAAATGAAAAAGGACGTGCACGCCTTATTTCGGGAGCTTGGCGACGGTGGTTTAGGCTTGCACCCGTTCGTCATCATGCGTGACACCATGCGCGCGTTGGATCTCGGCGACGCCTTGCTCGTCGCTGGAAATGTGCTGTTCCACATGAGCTACAGCGACATGATCTTGGCAGGCGACCCCGTGGGGGCATGCAACTGGATTCGGAAGGAGGTGTCCAGAATCTACAAAGCTGAGCATACCCCCTCTCGCTTCTCTTATCTGGACTCGAGCTTCTCCACGAACCCCGAGAAGTCGATGGAGCGCGCGCCGCTGCTCAAGGGCCACGCCGCTGAGACCAGGCACCTGATTCTAGACCTCGGCAAGGTTTTCAAAGTGAAGCACAGGCCAGCGAACAAGTACGAGGCTCTCATCAGCAAGCTGCTCAGCAGCCTCACAATGATATACACATTTCTCGATGCCATCGAGGACGGGGGGGCGCCCAGTCTACCTCGACGCCGACTCTGTCGTGAAACCGCTGCGGCAGCACATCGACTTTTTCTTGGCGGCCTACCAGCATTGCAACGACATGGGGAAGTTGCTCCATGACAGAGCGGAGTTTTGGCACGAAGTCCCGAAGTTCCACGGCCTCTGGCACGTGGGTTTCGAGGCGCAGTTCATGAACCCTGACGTCGCCAAGTGCTACATCAACGAAGATTTCCAGCAGCGGATGAAGAAGTTGGGGGGCGTCGGTTCGGTTTGGATCGATTGCCGCCAAGCGTTCAGTCAATCTTTGCCAGACATGGGTACATGGCACCCTCTTTAAGATCTTGTTCAGAGGCCTGCAGGCCGCCACGCCTTAGCTGTCGGCCAATCGCAGCCCAGCGTTCTCGCCGTGGCCAGGCCCCGAGCCGAGATGAGTCCGAGGCCCTTCCAGCCCCCCCCCCCCCAGGCGCTTCCAGGGCCCTGCCTGGGCCCCTGAGCCCGCCCAGAGCCTCTCGGGGCCCCGGGGCCTGGCCAGGGCCCCCCTCCCAGGAACTTTAACATTTTACAAAATGTTGAACGGTGCAGCGAATAGCAGCTTAACATGTTATAACATGTTATCCGGCACGGTCTAACATTCTACAACATGTTAGAGGACACGTTTCAACATATTGTCAAAATGTTGAGGCATGGTATGCGGCTTCATTGACATTTTAACCGTTTGTTAATATATAATTAAACTGTTAAGGCCCGCGACATCTGAAACACAACATATTGATAAAATGTTGCGGAGGTGAACGAATCCAAAGATAACACGTTGCAAACTGCTGCATAATTGACCGGCTCACAAGGCAACATGTGATAACATGTTAGGGCTAGCAGCCCAGTTCACCTTAACATTCTGTCATGATGTCGAGCCGTGCCGCCACACTGCCGAGCCGCCCTCCTCCTTGTGGCAGTCGGAGGAGAAACAGATGTTTATCCCTTGAGCCACATTGGTTACGTAAGACCAAATCCACTAGCTGAACCTATTCGTGAAATACTGGACCCCTGTCACCCTGGTCCAACTTTCTCCTAGGTTCAGCTCCCCCTGTGGGATAAGCCGCAACCCCTGCATGAATCGAAAATCAAAGTAGCATCAGTTCACGGAGGCGCGTCGCTGAAACCGTTCTGCGAGCGCTCCCTTCCCTCAAGGCTGCACTACTGAAACGAAGAGCAGGCAGAGAACAGACCTGGCTGGCCGGCCGGGCGGAGAGGGGAGGAGGAAAGAGAGGAGACACCACCACCACCTACCATGAAGACCTCGAGGTCCTGTTGAGTTTTTTGTTTCCTTGAGGACATCCTTCAAACGAATTATGGAAACATTGCTTTTCAATTGGTTTTGAATTGATCGCGGATTTCTGAAAAATTGCGTCAGGAGCTGGTTCTTGACAAGCCAACACCTTAGCGACACATGCGCAGAAACAAAAGGAAGGAATGCTGTGCGCGCATGGTGGCACGTGCTGGCATTGTTGGACATAGGCTGGAACAGTCATTCGCCAACTCGTGGCAAGGAAATTCATGAGCCTTGCGATGCAAGCCGCTGTGAAGTAGAGGAAAAATCATGGATTGAGGTTTGGCGGGGGGAGCGGGGGAGTCAGAGAAACGGATGGCAGAAGCAAGACATGAGAAAAAATGGCGGAGGGAGAAATGAGGGATAACGGGGGGGGGTCAGAAGAGGGAGGGGAAGCTGGAAATTATCAGAGAGGGAGGGACGTGACATCGATTATCCTGGCAGCTCTATCAAGACTGCCCAACCTAAGCTGGCCACCAAAAGGGCTCTTCCTAGACGACTCCTCCTAGACTGCTCCCCCTAGACAGCTCCACCAAGACAGCTCGGTCCTAGACTGCCCGCCGAGACGCCCCCCCAAGATGACTGCCCACCGAGACGCCCCCCCAGACGTCCTATCCCAATCTTCATGTTGACCTCAAGCCGTCTCTTTCCTAAACGGCACAAGTATTTCGAAACATTGCGACAGGTTGGCCAGTTTCGCCTGAGATACCCTCGCAATCCTGAGCTCACAAACGCTATGTAGCATACGGCGCAAGCCATTGGATACAATATTGTTTTCTTGTTATGTTGTCTGAAGGGCGGGTGCTGCCTGCAGTCGTTCAGTGGCAGCCTCGCGCCTCGGGTGAACTCACCACCCGAGCAAAGACAGTGGTAGTGCAACCTCGTCAAACATGCGTGTGTGTGTGTTATTGCTCATGGTATGTGTCTGGATGCTGTCATGCCATACTGTGGGTGCTCATGCACCACTTCTGTTGCACAAACCACTGAGCCAGCAACAACTGAATAGCGCTGGTCTCGCCAGCCATGCCAGCAGCAAATGAATACAACTGTGAGCAGCGATAATTGAATAAAACTGGCCACCGAACCAGCAACAACTGAATAGAGCTGGCCGCCTGCTTAAAGAGGGAGCAACTTGATGGCGTGCTCCGCGCACTTCTTCACCGACGCGCGCACGTGCTCCCAGCTGCTCGGCTTGGACTTCTCAGCGGCATTCTTCTCGAGCCTCACCTTGGACTGCAACGTGTTGCGATTGTCTTTGAACTTCGCGAAGATGGCCATCATCGTTGCCTCGCGCGAGGTCGTGACCGCCTTGGCGATCCTCGCCGCCTGCTCGACCTCCCACTGCGCGAGAGGCTTCACGTCCAGCCCCTCCCTCTCGAGCTGGGCGCCCCCGAACGCTTTCTGGAACTTAGAGACCGCAGCCTTGAACCTGATGGGGTCCAAGCACAAGATCGTTCTGGCAGCATGCTTGGAAATCACGTCGCAGTCCGCCGAGGCACTGATGACATCATGCCAATTGCTCCCGTCGAACGTGCCCTGGTAGCAATATTTGAGGCTGCCGCTGGCGGTATCATCAGGGTCCATCGGCATCGTCCAGATCTTATCAACCTCTGCCCTCGCGGCCTCGTACTTCGCCTTGGAGTCGCAATCGATGAGCTCGTCGATCGCAGCATGGAACGTAGGCATGGATACGCTGTCAATGTATTTGTCGTCTGCCTGCCTGGACTGTGCAAGGACCGATTTCTCGGCACCGAACAGCCCCCTGAGAAGAACACCAGATTTATCAGAAGCAACCCTGGACGCCGCATCATTGCCAAGAGACTTGTAGTGAAGAAGGGCGGTCCTGGCGTCAACTGCAGTGGTCATCAGCCTGTGCATTGTAATCCACCCCTGCCTCGGCGGCGTCGAAGGGTGAAGGAGCTCCATGACTTTCCCCACGACGGGCAACACCTCCGACGCCTTTTGTCCAGCCATGCCAGCCTCATCACTCGTGATATGCTCGAGCAGCTTCTGGAGCAACTCTTCTGCAGCGGTGGTCACGTCAGCAGGGAAGGGCGACCCGAGGTCCGCGACCCTCAGGATCGCGGTGAGGTGGTCCATGAAGGTGGCCTTCTTGGCCTGGTCGAAGAAGTCTGTGACACTGATCTCAGTGAGACGGCCAGCGAACCCGATCTTCGATAGTTCGATCGACATGTGCCTCGACAGGTCCTTGCATGCTTCTGGTGCCGCGGCGCATCTGAGCGGCATGCATGCAAGGTTGCCAGAGGAAGCATACTCCAAGAAAGTCGAGATCTGCTTTAGCTCGTCGATTGTCGACGTCAGCTTGGGAGCATCGTAGGTTACACTCGACTTCCACAGGGTCTCGATCGCAAGAGCCTTACGGGAGCCGAAGCAACCCAAGGGCTTGCCACCGACACCCGGTTACGAATCACCAGTGGGTGGGGGGGGGGGGCTTGAAAACACATAGTGCCACACAAAGGTCAGCCGTAAGCTTTGCAATCTGGCGCATGCGAAGCGCATGAAGGCAACCCCGAACTATATGACGTTTTACACTTGTCATAATCGGTCTCGGGACCACCATCTACCTGAATGGGGGCGGCTGCCAACATACGTGTCAGACCACAATGCCTCGGAACGCATGGGAAACACCACCGAGATCATAACGCCCAAGACACCCATCGGCCATGAACTCGACCAAAATTCTCTGATTACCTGGGCACTAGGTGTAGGACAAGTCGGTTAGCAAGGACAAGGGCACCCAAAGAACCAAAGAACACGCGCAACAGAACGTATACAACGTATTTAGTTACGTGTTCTCCATTGGCCTAGGGCAGACACCAGAGTAAAACCTCAATCGTTTGGAAGGCCCTGCAACACCACAACCAGAACTTGTCTTATTGAGATCCGTTGCTGTGGGTCAACAAAACCGACCCGCTCAAAAACACGAAGTACGGGTGAGATGATCAGTGACGGACCTTCCTAAAACAACCTAAATGCCCCTATGCCCCGACGTGCCACCAGACACTGACATTCTCTAGTTGGACCCCAGTCGTGCCAACAGTCCTGGTCAGCGACGCGCCCGCAGAACGTTGCCAGCTTCTCGTCCAGGACGCGCATCGACTTATCCCTCGACCCAGCCCCCAGAGTAGTTAGATTCTTCACCGCGTCTGTCATTGACGCCCGAGTGGCCGTGACCTGCTCATCCGTTGCATCACCAGATAGAGATGACAAGATCTGCACTGCCATGTTGATCTTCTCGACGTTGACTGCGTGGGTCACCTTTCGCACAACCCCCGTGCGAAGCTAATCGGCATAGATCCTACGATGGAACGGGGTGGTCGAGGAGAGGACGACGATGGTGAGGAGGTGGGGCGGCAACTGAGGATGAGGATCCTGGAGAAGAGGAGGCAGAACATAACCAGGAGGGAGTGCGAGGAGGAGAAGGCCAAGGAGACGTAGGAGGAACGTGGAGGAGAAGGAGAACAAAGGCGAGAAGGATGGAGTATGGGAGCAGATAACTCTAAAGACTAGCTTCCCTTGGATGGCGCATGACCTTAGTCCTCCTGATGGACAGGAGCGGCGCCTTGAAGGAGCTGCACTCGCCCATCTGCTCGAACGCGTTGTAGAGGATGCCCTTCCAGCCGCTGTCATCCAAAGCCGTCGCCGATGAGAGACTCTCAAAGTCGGAGAGGTTGGCGACATTCAGCGGGTTCTGAACGTACAGCGCCGCGCGCATGCACTCGATGATCTTGTTGATCGATGCTTGGATCACCTCGGGGGCGTCATGAGGCGTGTTCTCGATCAAGAAAGCGTCCACATCTGTCGCCAGCTTCTCGCACGCATCGTGGGACAGCGATGTGCCCCAAGCATTGAAGAGAGGCTTCACAAAGTAACTGAAGGTGGCGCTCTCGAACCGAATGCACATGCTGGCCTCAGTTCCAGGGACGAGGCGGGCTAACGGAGATCTCCAGTCGTACCCCTCGCTGGCGTCGACTGCAGCATGCTCGCTGCCGTCGTCCGCCGCGGCGCCCACAGGCATCGCCACATTGAAAAAGTCAGGGATTTTAGTATGACCATCCTCTTCGAGTAACTTCTTGCCCATCTCGGAAGCCTTCCTGTCGTTGATTTCAACTGCCAAGCTCACTGGCATGACCATGCCCGCAGCAGACAGGCTCTCGAGCTTCGTGCGAAACTCGGCGTCACTCATCGAGAACATGTGCTCAGGCTTGCTGAGGTCCTCTGCGTCCTGAGCCAAGATCAACTTGTCTGTGATGATCTTGGCGGCCTCGCCCTCCTGCGAATTGGCCGACATCGTAAACTGGTCCCTCTTCGACTTCATCCTGGCACGGCGGTGGCCCAGCATGGACACTCCCGATGCAATGGTGGTGAGGTTGATGGCCTTGAGTTTCTCGGACAGCACCCGGTCGAAATTCTCGCCGAGCCTGATGGCCAAGTTGGCTGCAGTGGACGCCATGCTCACAGCAGTCTCATTCTCATCCGCCACATAATCGTCGAAGGCGCATGGGACGCACGTGTGTACAAAGGCCCAGTCCTTGGCATTCAATTTTGCCCAATATCCAATATCTTGCCGTTGTGCGGGGACGTCGTGACCGTCCTCCACCTGCGCGGCCTCCTTGCCATCGCCGCCCTCGTCTAAGCCGCCATCCTCCGCGCCGTCGTCGTCGCCCTTCTTGTCTGGGAGCGTCGCCGTGCAATCCTCAGCCGTGAGAGTGGCAAGGCGAGCGCGCTTGTACGCAGGATCCTCCAAACCAGATGCTTTTATCATATCTGCGAAAACACTCTTCGCTTGCTTGGCATACAACTGCGTTTGGGCCAAAACCTTGTACTCCGACTCTGACGTCAACCTCTCGATGCCGTATTCGATCGCGATGCCGATGTTCGCCTCGCGGAGCTCCTTGCTGTCCGCCATCACAACGACCTGCATTTTGGACGTCGGGCCGTCGGGGTTGTCGACCAAACTCAGCTTCCACCCCTTGACCTCGTGCGACCCCTTGAAGAAGTCCCCCCCTCTGGAAGGAAACACGAACCATAACGCAACGCAGGCTGGCTGACACAAACTTAAAATTCCAGAGGAATTGGCATTGTCTTGAACACCGTTGGGCAATCTAGCTTGGTCAAAGAGAGGAAACCACACAACCCCGCTAGATATGATCCAGGCTGGCGGCTGGCAAACATAGGCCCATCAATGATAGAACCTTGAAAACATGGCCATTGTCCATATAACTCGCGTATCAACAAGTGCGAATGCGATCCGACCAGCGGCCATCATACCCCCTTTAGCGTTTTGTTCCCAGCCATCCTGTGGTGTTGGGTCATCGTTTTGAAGAGACTTTCCCCCGCGTCTCCTCTTCCTTCTTCTCCTCCTTCTCCCTCCTCCCTCCTCCCTCCTCCCATCGACGACATCACCACCATCATCAGCATTGCCCCACACGTTTCGTCGCCCCATAGGGAGCTCCACCGAAGGCTCCAGCGGCAGCGTTGGCATGCGGAACAGCCGCCCATTTCGGCACACCCCTCGCACGTTTCGTGGCCCCATAGGGAGCTCCACCGAAGGCCCCAGTGGCAGCGCTGACATGCGGGGCCGCCGCCCATTTCGGCACACCCCTCACACGTTTCGTTGCCCCATAGGGGGGCTCCACCGAAGGCTCGAGTGGCAGCGTTGACATGCGGGACCGCAGCCCATTTCGGCACACCCCTCATGCGTTCCGTAGCCCCATAGGGGGCTCCACCGAAGGATCCAGTGGCAGCGTTGACACGCGGGACCGCCGCTCATTTCAGCACACACACCTCACACGCTTCGTGGCCCCATGGGGAGCCCCACCGAAGGTTCCAGTGGCAGCACTGACATGCGGGACCGCCGCACATTTCGGCACACCCCTCACGCGCTTCGCGGCCCCATAGGGGGATCTACCGAAGGCTCCAGCGGCAGCGCTGACATGCGGGACCGCCGCTCATTTCAGCACACACGCACACACCTCACACGCTTCGTTGCCCCATAGGGGGCTCCACCGAAGGTTCCAGTGGCAGCGCTGACATGCGGGACCGCTGCCCATGTCGGCACACCCCTCACACGTTGCGTGGCTCCATAGGGAGCTCCACCGAAGGCCCCAGTGGCAGCGTTGACATGCGGGTCAGCCGCACATTTCGGCACACCCCTCGCACGTTGCGTGGCCCCATAGGGAGCCCCACCGAAGGCTGCGATGGCAGCGTTGACATGCGGGCCGCCGCCCATTTCGGCACACCCCTCACACGTTTCGTGGCCTCATAAGGAGTTCCACCCAAGGATCCAGTGGCAGCGTTGGCACATGCGGGACCGCCGCCCACATCGGCACACCCCTCACACGTTGCGTGGCCACATAGGGAGCTCCACCGAAGGCCCCAGTGGCAGCGCTGACATGCGGGACCGCCGCCCATTTCGACACACCCCTCGCACGTTGCGTGGCCCCATAGGGAGCCCCACCGAAGGCTCCAGTGGCAGCGTTGACATGCGGGACCGCCGCCCATTTCGGCACGCCCCCCACGCGTCTCGTAGCTCATAGTGAGCTCCACCGAAGGCCCCAGTGGCAGCGTTGACATGCGGGACCGCCGCCCATTTCGGCACACCCTTCACACGCTCCGTGGCCCCATAGGGAGCCCAATCGAAGGCTCCAGTGGCAGCGCGGACATGCGGGACCGCCACCCATGTCGGCATTTCGCTCACGCGTTCCGTGGCTATGGGGCTACGGAACGTGCGAGGGGTGACGTTGACGATGGTGGTGATACCGTCGATGGGAGGAGGGGGGGGGAGGAGGGAGAAGCAGGATAAGAATGAGGAGGAGACCGAGACGCGGGGGGAACGGCTCGTCAAAACGAGGACCCAACACCACAGGATGGTTCGGATCCACCCAGAACGGTGGCGGTGGTAGGGGAGGAGCAACGAGCAATCTTGCAACGCGCTGTATTTCAAGAAAGAACCCAATACCACAGGACGGTTGGAAAACGTTGCCATGTCGCTACCGTTGGGCCCTCTGTGCGTCTCGAGGGGGAAGAAAGGGGGCTGCGGTTCGAAAGCAGCTTAGTGTGCTATCTTGGAATAGGCGCAAACCAACTCTTTAGCACGACAGTGATGCCCATGCGTGGGCCACCTAACCGAATATGGATTCTCACCATGCCCATGCTATTGTGACACGTTGTGTTGACGCGCATGTCCAAACCATAGCACGTGCTCTCGATTCGGCGACGCACTGCCTTTTGTTCCCAAACGTGGTCTTGCATCAGAAATGCACCATGCGACATTGCAAAGAACGAATTCGAAACCCACGGCGTGCAAAAAAATGCGCCTGCGAGGTCAAGCGCATGGCCACAAGGGACGGTTGTGGCGCAGCTCCCACATGCAACTATTGCTTCCCAACGGCTGCGTTCGCATGCGCCCCCTTGCCCGATGTTGGCGCGCCCCTCACGCGTTTCGTGCCCCCAGCAAGCAGCCCAAACCGCCCCGAGGCACCCCGAGACCACCCGAAACCCCAAGACCCCCCAAGACCCCCAAGAACCCCCAATAACCCCCAAGAACCAAGACCCAAAAGACACCCCAAGACCCCCAATACACCCAACGACCTCCAAGACCCCCAAGACCCCCAAGACCCCCAAGACCCCCCAAGACCCCCCAAGACCCCCCAAGAACCCCCAAGACCCCCAAGACCCCCAAGACCCCCAAGACCCCCCAAGGCCCCCCAAGACCCCCAAGACTCCTAAAGACCCAAGACCCCCTGAATGTCCCAAACGCCCATAAAGACCCCAAAAGGACCCAAGACCCCCAAGACCCCCAAGACCCCTCACGACCCCCAAACCACCCCAAGACCCCAAGACACCCCAAGACACCCCAAGACACCCAAGACCCCCCACGACATCCAAGACCCCCAAGATCCCCAAGGCCCCCGATACCCCCAAGAGCACCCCACGACGCCCAAGAGGCCCAAGGGGCCCAAGACCCAAGACACCCGATGGTAGCCCGAAGCGCCCAACGCACCCGAGACGCCCACGACACCCAAACCACCGAAAGACACCGGAGACGCCGCGAAGGCCGCTCCTCGGTGCTGCCAGAGCGCGCAACTGTGGAGGAGAGAAGAAGCGGGCGATTTGTATTTCGTCGGTCCCCAGGGTCTGTCTCCCTCGTCGCCTCGGCTCGGTTCGCAATCGAAATTCTCAGAACGCACGAAACCGAACGAAAAAACAACAGGGAAGCGAAGCCCCGCCACCACGAGGCGCCCTCGGGCGCAATGCCCGCAAGGGGAGGGCACACCCCTAGGGCCGATCATTGCCCCCCCCCCCAGTCGGAGGGCAAGGATGGATGGGCCCCCTCTGCCCGCATTTCGCTGGGACGGCGAACGGAAGGACGGAGTGGGGCAGGGTCTTATTGGCGGCAGAGGCCCATTGCCGATCGGGCCGCGGGGTGACGCACAGAGAGCGCCCAGATAGCAGCCCTGCCCATCCTCTGAGGGAGGACGACCCCCAGCGGCAATCGGACTTACTTACATGACTTGTTGTTTGCCATGGCCTCCTATTTTGCCCAAGGAGGTGAAGGGCGGAGGAGGATCCAAGACGACCTTTGAGACACCATCCGAGACGACCAAACGGCCCGTCAATAATCTCCCCCCCAAAGGCCCAACAAGAATAACCAAAAGGATCTCCAAGACGCACTGGGTCCTGAGGGGAAACCGAAGCCCAAAGGATGGCCCAAGACCCCCCAGACGGCCAGACGGGGCTCAGGACCACCTGCGCGAACAACAAGACCACCCAACGGAAATGCAGGGGGGTCCCTAACGAAGACCCAAGACCCAGAAACCCAAGGCGCCCTACGAAGCCCAAACCAAAACCGCTCCAAGGCCACCCAAGAGGCCCAAGACCCACAAGAAACCCAAGGCCCCCAAGACCCCCAATACCCCCACGGCCCAAGGCCCAATACCCCCACACCCAAAGACACGCAAGACGCAAGACACCCAGGACCCCGAGACCCGAACCACCCAAGAACTCGATGACGCCCGAAGGCACCCCCCCAAGGCCCCCAGGACCCGCCAAGACCCCCAAGACCCGCTTGGTCCAAGACATCCAAGACCCCCTAGACACTCCAAGGCCCCCAAGACCCCAACATGCACAAGACCCATAAACAACCAAAGACACCAAAGGGACCCAAGACCCCCAAGACTCCCAAGACCCCAAGATCCCTCACACACACACACACACACACACACACACACCAAGGCACCGCAAGACCCCCCATGCCCCCCAAGACCCAAGCCCCCCAGGACCCACACGACCGTCGCCAAGACACCCGAAGACCCCAACGACCCCCAAGGCCCTCAAGAATCACAAGACCCCCAAGACCCCCAAGACTCCAAGAGGCCCAAGAGGCCCACTGGACCCTGAAGGTGTTCAACGTTCCACGCCCAAAGACCCCAAAGGGACCCAAGACCCCCAAGACCCCAAGCCCCCCAAGACACCAAGACCCCCAAGACCCACCGAGGCACCCCAAACTCTGACACCCAAAGGCACCCTTGGCCCACGACCCCCAAGACCCCTCCCCCCAAAACCCCCCCCAGACCCCCAAGACCCCAAGAGGCCCACGGCACCCGAAAAGCCCCAAACGCCCAAAGACACCAAAAGGGACCCGAGACCCACAGGGCCCTCTATGACTCCCAACGCTTCCTCCCCCCCCCCCCCCCAAGACCCTCAAGACACCCCCAACCCCCAAGACCACCCAAGGCCCCCAAGACCCCAACCCCCAAGACTTGGCCCAAGACCCCCAAATGCAAAATACCCCCAAAGACCCCTAAGACACCCAAGACACCCAAGACCCCGAGACCCAACACCCCCAAGACCCCGATGCCACCCGATGACCTCTCAAGACCCCCAAGACCACCCAAGACGCCCAAGACACCCTTGGCCCAAGACACCCAGCACATTCAAGACCCCCCAGGACACCCAAGACCCCCCAAGACTCCAAGAGGCCTAAAGGCACCACACACCAAAAGACACCAAAGGGACCCAAGACTTGGCCCAAGACCCCCAAGACCCCTCGAGACCCCCAGGGCCCCGCAAGACCCCCACGACCCCCCAAGACACCCCAAGAGACCCCAAGACCGTCGCCACGCCACCCGACAACCCCCAAGACCCCCAAGGACCTCAAGACCCTCAAGACCCCCAAGACCCCCAAGACCACCCAACACCCCCGATACCCCAAGAGGTCCAACACCATATGGGCCCCAAACTCCCAAAGACTTCAAATGGACCCAGGCACCCAAGACCCCAAAGACACACAAGGCCCCCCAAGACCCCACAGCCTGTCACAGGCATCCCAAAAGCTCCCCAAGACCCAATACCCCCAAGAGGCCCAAGACCGCCAAGACACCCGAGACCTTCAAGACCTCCCGCGACGCCCAAGAGGCCCACGACACTCACGACACCCGATGGTGGCCCGAAACGCCCAAGGCCACCTAAGACTACCAAGCCGCCCCAAGGCACCTCAAGACCCTTAAGACCCCTAAGACCCCAAGGCACCCAGGCCCAAGACCCCCAAAGCCCAAGAAGACCCAAAGACACCCACATATCCCCAAGACACCCTACGACCCCCACGATCCCGAGATCCGAGACCCCCAAGACCCAGATAACACCCGACGGCCCCCAAAGACCAAGACCTCCGAAGGCACAGGCCCCCAAGGCCTTACGATGCGATCCCCAAGGCCCCCCCAAAAATACCCCACACAACCCAAAACATTCTAAGGGGCCCAAGCTCCCCTAAATGCCCCAACCACTCAAAGACCCCACAGGGACCCAATACCCCCCAAACCCCCCAGGAACCCACAAGCCCACCAAGACCCCAACAGACCACCGCGACCCCAAATACCCACCCTAAGACCCCGCCCAAGACCCCCAAGACCCACGACCCCCAAGACCCCAAGATCACCAAGAACCCCCAAGGCCACCTGAAGGAGACACCCCACGACCCCCAAGACCACCCAGGATTCCAAGAAACCCAATACATCATAAACGCTCCAAACGCCCGACACCAAACGGTCCCCCCCAATACACCCGAGACCACCCCAAGACCCCAAAGACACCTATGACACCCCAAAAGCGCCCACACGACCAAGACCCCCAAGACACCAGAGGCACCCAAGACCCAAAAGATGGCCCAAGACCACCCCCACGACGCCCAAGAAGCCCATGACACTCACGACACCCGATGGTGGCCCGAAACGCCCACGGCAGCCGCGACACCCAAGACGCCCAAGACATTGAAACGCACTGGAGACGCAAAGGCAGCCCCTTGGTGCTGCCAGCGCGCGCAGCTGTGGAGGAGAAGGGGGGGGTGCGACTTTTGCGTCGCCGAGACGACCAAACGACCGTTCACGAAGCCCCTTTCCCAGAGACCGTAGCGCACCTCTTTGTGTATGACCAAGGCAACACAATTGGAGACAAGCCGCTCAAAAGAAGCCCAAAGCCCAAAGCCACCTGACAGAAACCCAAGGCCCATCGACCAACTGAAGCCGCAGCAGATCCCTTGGACAAGCCCAATGTCCCTTGAAAAAGGCCCAGGACCAAGATCCCATCACGAAGACCCACGCTCCCTAGCAAGCCGAAGGCCACCGTGGAAGTGTCAGCCCCCCCCCCCCCCCCACCCCCCTCCCCCGGTGCGCTCCTACCCCCCAGGGACCTCCGTGACCTCCCCCCCGGAGACCCGCCGCTACTCCAAAAAAAAAAAAGGGGGGCCCCCCCCCAAGGACCTCCTAAGCCCCCCGACTGCCCCAATCACCCAAGCGCGCAATGCGCCCAATGAACACACACAGAGACGACCCAAGACCAACCAAGATCCCAGACGAATCCAAACGCACCCCAAAACAACCCAAACCCCCAAGACACCCAGACGGCCCAAGACCCCTCAAACCTCCAATGCCCCAAAGACCACCAAGCGGTCCAGCGCCCCGCAGATCGCAGACCCCGAAGCCTCCCAATCTATCCACGATCGCAAAGATTTCATAGAACCCCAAGACACCCTCAAGAGCCCCCAGGCACCCACAACACCGAACGCTCCACGACCCAAGAGACTACCCCCCGCCCACCCACCCCCAGGACCATCAAGATACCCCAAATCCAGAAGACACCCGAGGGCCCAACACCCCAAAGCCTCCCCGAGACTCTCCCAGACCCCCACTGCCCCGAATAAGCAAAAAACACAACAGACCCCCAAAACGACCAAGGCCACCAAGACCACCAACGGCATTGGAGATACCACAGACCCCACAGACACCAAGCGCACAAAACACCCAGGAGACCCAAGAACCCTACGACCCCCAGCCCCAGGTGTTACTGCGGAGGCCCGAGGCGCCGAAAAACATGACCCCGCCCCCCAACAGAAAAATACACACGACGCCCAAGATACCCGACATGCCGAATCTGTCGCGCATGCCCACGATGCCAGAGCAATCCAATATACAATAAATAGATAGGTACCCAGGTACCGCGCAACCGATTTAGCCAAGACGCATTTGTTACACCAGAGGCCATTCCGTCAAAATGCACAAGACACAACCAATGCCAAAAGTACCCAACAACCCTTGCGGTGCCCAAGGCACCACAGACACTCAAACGACCCAGTTGCCCCTAGAAGCCCGAGGCCCCCTAGGCACCAACGGCACCCGAGGCATCAAACTTGCCCGAGATACACAAGACCACCTCCAACAACCAGGACGCCCAATAAGAACAAAGGCCCCAAGACGATCACGACCCACCCAACACCCAAGATACAACTGATACCCAAGATACCCCCCAAGCCTAAGACGCCCAAGACACCGCCGTCGCCATCGTTACCGTCGCCGCCCAAGACGCGAAATTACCCAAGACGGTGGCGAAGAGCTGTCTGGTTGGGCAAAGCCCCTTCTCTATCGCAGACAACATGGCAAACTGATACAAATAATAATTCCAAACTGCCAAACACAGTCTGAAGCAAATCTCAGTCGGATGCAACATACAATAGGTTGCGAAACACTCTGCTGCACCGAACCCTCGGACCTGGAAAGAACGTCAGATGAAAAACGCAATAGTGTGTGAAATGCAAGGCGCAAACCGCCTCCGCACAAGCGTACTCGAACATGAAATCAGATGTGACCCGCAGTCGGATGATAATCATAATCGGGCGTGAACCAGTGTCGAATGCAAAATGCAAATTGGGAGCGTGATTCGCCGACGCCAGCGAGACGGCGAATTCAAATGATATGTGCGCCAGAACATATCCCCGAACCGCCCTGGGACCTTAGAAGCTATGACGCCCGCTCTATAACGCCTAATGGTTCTCTTGGGTGCCTCGCAAGTCATCCCCTGGCCTCGCCCTGGGCCTGGGCCCCTTGCCCTGCGGGGCGTCGAATAGCTCTTGCTGGCCAGGAAGGCTCAGCACCAGGGGGGCCAATCGAGACCTCTCCCCCAGCCCTGCCCCGCCTGCCACTGTCCACCAACACCCACCAGGCAGTACGCGATAACTTCTAATTTCCAGCGCGCCTCCGATGGACTCTAAGCATGCTTCAGGACGGTCCAGCCATCCCCACGACCCTGAGAGCGGGGCCAACAGGGAGAGCGACCGCGCTCGCCCAACGGGCCCACGAACGCCAACATGGCTAACAAGCCTACCTTTGCGCAAAACCACAGCCCTACCATCATCATCGACACCTCCACCATCATCAAGTCCAAAGGCCCACAAAGGCCCCCATACCTCAACGGCCTCACATATCCCCAACCTGCCGTCGACAAGAACATCAGAATACGGCCCATGACGCCCAAGATACCGCACGCGCCCCAGACACCCAATACCCTAAAAATCCAGAGTGCCGCCCAGACCCCTAAGAAGCCAGCGGCATCCAAGACGCCCAAGGCCTTCAAGATACCCAAGACACCTGCGGTGGTAGTGATATTGAGGGTGGTGCGGGCACGGCTGATGATGAGGATGTTGTTGAGAGAGAGGGGATATGGAGAAGCATGATGACGACAGTGAAGGGAATAATAATGGCAAGGATAACAAGGGTAAAGGCGATAAGGGTAAGAATGGCGATGACCACAACGAAGAAGAATAATGGTTGTATGTCGGGCACCATTGCGACGTTTACCCTTAAACTGCGTTGGCGGTCGATACCAACATCGTGATGATGTCAGCAAGCGACAACGGTTTAGACATTAGTGGGATATTGTTGTTGCATGTTGCTAATGACACACAGTATTATGAGGAACGTTGGGCACAATGCAAACACTACGTGTGCTACTATGCCAACGCAAGCGGCGCCCAAAACTATTGTTTACATACAGGGACTGGGACCGCTACAATTGGTTGAAACACCAATGGGGTAGTTGGGAGACCTTATGGGGGAGGCACCGTTCAAGACACCCATCAACAAGGTATCACTGAGAAACGGAACGTGTGAGGGGTGCCGCTTAGACGGCCCGCCAATCCTTGTATTCCTCAGGGCTGAGGCCCCGCTTCCGCTTGCTGGCCCGCACGAACGTTGCCTGGGTCCTGGCCACGTCGCTGGGGAAGAACACTTTAGTAGCAGGCACCTTCAAGCCGACCATTGCATCACAAAACTCATTGTCGAACTCTGAAACCTCGTTGCACTTCATCGCAATCTGGGACGGGCTGCCGTGCTGGCAGAAGGCGCGAGCCGTCGGGCCGCAGTTCCAGCACAGAGGACCCGATGGTAATAGCACCTCCAAGGCCAGAGGCAATGGCAGCATCATTCGGATTACCAGGCTGCCCCCCTCAGTTGAATCCTATGTCCCTGAAGTTTCCATGGGACCGAAAGCCACCAGGAGAAGGAAGAGGGTATATCCGAATGTTGCTGAGGAAGTTGGGAAGGCAATCGTGACGGGGCGATCCTGGAGGAGACCCCCTGAGGGGTCAACGGCAGACGACCCCGAGAAGCAATCCTGGAGGGGCCATCCCTGGAGGGACCACCCTGGAGGGGACGGCAACCCGAATACGACTGCGATCATTGAAACACAGAAGTCCTCCTTCCAGTGCTTACCCTCCTTCTTCCACTGGATCTGGTAGCCGCCCCACTGCTTGCAGTCATACTGCTCGTGCTTCGGGGCATTATTCAAGGTGTTGCCGCAGTCCGCCCGCTCACGCTCATCACTGGGATTGCCCATGCACTGGCCAGGGAAGCTCTCAAGGCCAGCTGCCGACAGAGGCTGGACAAGTTCGAGGCCCTTCTTGGACCCAGGATGCTTAGTAGGCGTCGACGTTCCGGCCTTGCCACAAGCCTTGGCGCCCTTGCCCGAGCCAGCACCGCCGCGCGGCCGCGTCGGCTTAGCAGGAGTCACCGCGGGAGACGAACAGGATGATGGCGACGCCTCAACCATTGCCGCGCCGCCAGCTGGCATCTGGTCGTCGGTGGCGGATGGTTGTGGACCACCTCCTTTGCTGTTCCTGCCCCTCGAAGGGCCAGGTGATGCTCCAGGCGGGCCAGGTCGCTTCATCTCTGCGAGATCTGAATATGGAGTAAGCGTTGGGCTGCAACGGAACGCGAAGTAGAGCGTCACAGCAGCCCAAAGCAATAAGAACATCACACCTGGCTGCATAGAGATATGAAAGCCTTGGGCCGATGCGGCCCTGGCGCATGCGAAACATAGTAGACGCCCAGACGGTGCTCCCAAGACGGCTCCGCCTGGCCCCGCCCTGGAGCCCTCCCAAGACGGCCCACCGCAATTGCACCGTATATATTGCGCCTCCGATTGCACAACATAGAGCGCTCCATAGATTGCACCACGCATTACTCTAAGAGGTTGTTGATTGCCATAGGTTACATCAGACGAATTGCGCAACCTATATTGGATAAGACTTTTGGCTGGCACGGAGTGGGGCCGCCATCCATTCGCAATGGGCAGCAGCTCTGCCCTTCCAAGACGACCCCCCTAGACGCCATCCCTAGATGCCGCCCTAGACGATCCCCCTAGACGACCCCACCTAGACGGCCTTCCCAAGACGCCCTCCCTAGACGTCCCACCAAGATGGCATTCCCAAGACAGCTCCTCAAATATTGGACCACATAGAGTTCACCATACATTGCACAACATGAGTGCCGCACCACATAGCGCTCACCAATGCACAACAGAGCGCGGCAAGTATTCACACTGGACGGTCGCTTAACATATATTGTACCAGCTAGATCGCACCACAACGCCATGGACGACAGCTTCAGTATAATGGCATCGGGAACTCTCATCGCCGCCGCCGTCGTGTCACCATCGGCGTTGCCGCAGCCGTCGATGGTGAAGTGATCATCACCATCGACGGCTGCGGCAACGTCGATGGTGACACGACGGCGCCGTCGTCATCACCAGTGTAAGCGACCATTGAGCACTGAGCCCAAACCAATTGTTACAATGGTGGCCAACAAAGGTGAAACTCTCAGTCTCGAAGCGCCAAGCCGCGCATAGCACAAATCTTGAATATGAAGTCCTCGTGTCCTGCTCCATCCTCCTTTGCTTTGGGCAACCTCTTCACCCGTCCCTCCGGCCCCCCGCCTTTCTCGTCAGCCTCAGCCTCAACCTGCCCACTCAAGCCGACCCGCAATCGCAGGCGAGGCTGGCCAAGCTGGCAATCTATAAACCAGATATCACATGAAAACTTAAATGGGCTGCTGGGTCTCCGATGGCCCCTCGAACCCGAGAGTGCTCGGAAAATCACCATCAGGAAGCAGAGAACCGACAGAATCGCCGAGGTCCCGGGGCGGCAACGACGACGCTTGCGAACCGCCATCTGCTGCCAGCGACGCTCGCAACGCCGTCCTAAACCTGCTGCTGGAGCCGCCGACAGGAGCCCCAGACGACTGCTGGACGCCGACAGGAGCCACAACTGGCAGGTGCTGGATGCCTTTCTCAGCAGCCTCCTTCTCAACGGCAGACTCAAAAACTTTGTTGTGTAGGACATCCTGGACAGCTGCTAACGGCTCTTGCGAATCCTCCACCAGAGTTGCCTCATCTGACCTAATGGGTGGCGGGGCTTGGGATGCGCCCTCCTCATCGCCCTTGCCCTCGACTGGCAGGGGCGGGGTGGTGCTTGGATGGACGGTCACTGGCGTACTCTGAGACCCGCCGATCTGGAAAACTCTGGGCACAGGCTGAGAAAGATCAGGGCGGCTGCCCGCTGGGGTCAGCGCCTTCGCCGTCGCCACGCTCGGGGCGGCGCTCGGCCGAGGCGGCGCCGCAGTCGGTGACTGCTGCTGCGGCGCAGGGAGAGGCTCGATCGGCACCTTCGGGGACGGCTGCTCGCCCACAAACTCCACATCGCTAGATCCACCATCGTGCGGCGGTCCTGGCGACGCTTGCCTCTACCGCTTCTCAGGCGGCTGTCCTGGCGACGCGCCCAGCGCTGCCTCCTGTGGGGCCTGGCTGGCACCCGCAGCAGCACTGGCGCTCTGGCTGGCACCCGCGGCAGCACTGGCGCCTGGAGCCTTCGGCACGATCTCAATCTCCGCAGGGATTGAGAAGCGAAGCTCGCCGCGCATGTTCTCGGACAGCCCAGCCACCTGCAACTGCAGACGGAGCGTGTGCCCTCGGACCTTGAACACGTTCAGGCTGCAAACGCGGAGCGCACTTTTCTGTGGATATGCAACTCAGCCACGGATGGCTACGGAAAAGCAGCGGTGGTGACGGAACATACATACCCAAATCCGTCTGGCAGAACTTACACACCCAAACGAGCCACGTACCCCATCGCACGGACTGCTCATGTGATCTTCAGGCCGGAACGCCGCCAGTGCGGATGAACGGTGACGGGCGCATCCCATGCCATTCTGGTAGCTGAGAACACGCTCGCAAACCAACCCTCTGGCTGGATACAGGTGGGCACGGCACGGAAACGGAAAATATAGGATACAACGCTACGCTACTTTCGAGCTGGATTCATGCGTTATACTGTCATAACCAACGGCTGGATTCACGCGCCACTGTCATAACGGAAACAGCGCTGCGCCGAACGTCAACTTTCCTGCTCCTGATGCCCTTCCTCCTTCTCCTCCCACCCCCCTCATGCGGAGTGGTGGAAAACGACGTCGGCCACATGCAATGACATTCTTGCTGCCGACATGAAAAACGACTTGTCCTGTTCCACCACAGTGTGTACCAACATCTATACAATCATACGTACAGTGCATTGTGCTAACCTGCGTTGTGGCACCATGGTGCATGGCATCCCGCCAACACTCCTGTGCGATAGTACGCGACCATATTATGTATGTTGTGTTTCGCTGTTATAATATTAGGTTGTGTCACGCAGCTGTGCTACACGATGATATAATGCGCAAGCGACGTCCAAATAACTTGTTTGCACGTTCGCACTCTATTCTGAAACCATATAACCATCGACTAACGCTTGCATGCGCAAGGTTTTTGACGCGGTTCATCCGCACAGCAACAGCCACGCATGAACCGCATCAGGCGCTTTGTTGTAAGTATAGTAGCATGACATTTATGGCGCACATCATATGCACGCGTAACACACGTTATTCTGTTATACACGCGCCAGTGATAACGCAAAACGAACGGTGGGCTGGACAAACAACCCGCCCTTGTCTTCAACGCAATCGTGGCCCACGCTAGGCTACGCCATGCCACAGGCTTCTTGTGCTGGCGAACACCGCGCTGCAATGAACAGTTGATGTCTGACCTTTTTGCTGTGTTTAATCTATTCGCTGCGGCGCCGCAACAGCCCATTTCGCCAAATGACCAGACGCGCGACCCCTACGGCGCAAGCCTGACGCCGAACGCGCTGGCAAGCTCGCATGGCTGCGGTGGCGCGCGAAGCGCGCCGAAATATAGTGTACTTTTCGCAATGGGCATGATCCTTGTTCGGCGCGCGAAGCGCGCCGCGAAACGGTGGCCAATGTTGGCGATGGACAGTGGCTGGCCTCCCAGCTCCGCGCGCGAAGCGCGCTGCGAAACTATTGCCAACGCGCCAAATGAGGATGCGAGTCTGGCGGGTGCGCGCGCGGCGTTTGCGCGCGCAGAGAGGCGGTGATCGCGGGCGAGGGTGGATGCAGGTGGGGGGACAGGGCGGACGGGGGCGGGAAGGGTCACTGCGGGGGGGGGCAAGCCGCGGCTTGCGGCACGCGGGAGTGGCGACCTGAATCGGCCGATGCACCTTGCGCGCCCCGCCGTTTACATTGGGCCGAACGGCAGCATGACCGCCAGACAGCCTTGACACACCAGGCCGCCAGAAGCCAAATTGCCACGCGCACTAAGACCGTCCTGAAGCCCGACTGCGCAGGGGGGCGACACTTGCCACACTTCCAGACAGAACGGGCCCGTGACCTAGTCGCAATGAACTTAGGTGCCAGCGCCGCAATGCCTCAAGACTGCACTGCCAGATGCCCACGTGCCCCCAGGCCCTCAGCACTGACCGCGCGACGCACCACGCGACCACCGCGGCAGTGCCAAAACGCCTGAGGCAACCTTCGCCTCGAAGCCGAACGTCGGACCGTTTCGCCCTGCCGCCCGAAACACGACGGCGCCGAAAGCTTTGCGAACCACACCCCGACGGCAACTACCGATTGTGCCGCGCACCTCTGAGAGCCGATTGCCAGGTGGGCCCCAGGGCGAGCGACCCCATGACCCCCCCCCCTGCCACTCGCCCTCCCACGGCCCAGACCAGAACGCCAAGAATCGCCCGAATGCCGCGCAGCCTTAACACAACCTCATCACGCCGATGCCCAGGGCTACGCGGCCCAATGGCACCATGGCTTAACCGATACGGCGCATTCATGGCCCGAAGCCCGAATGCCGCCAGCCCTCGCAACCCTGCAGAACGGCGCCCATCGGCCCTGATGCCGCGTGGCCCTTGGGCCCCCAGATAACCTCGCCGCGTGGGCCGAGTGCCAAGCGCCGCTGCCCCTAACGCCAGTGACCCCCGACCACCTTAGCGAAAAAGCGTACTTGCCTCAACGTCGTTGGCACTAGGCCCAAAGCGCCGCGTGGTTTTGAAGAAGCGTCGCAGCCGTGGCGCCGCGTGGCGGGATGGGGGGGAGAGGGGGGGGGGGGGCCCTGGTGCGATGGCGCCGCGGTGCAGGTGGGCCGATGCGCCCAGAAGAAATTCAAACGCCGCGGCCACCAAGCCCGAAGATTTCGAATGCTGAGAAGTCGGGCTGGTGGCTTCAGTAGCGGACGGGCGCGCCCTGCGGGCCCAGGCCCCTGGCCCGCATGGCCCGAGACGCATCGGCCTTGCAAGCCCGATGCAGCGCATGCGAAGCCCTGGCGTGGCGCCCTTACGCAACGGCGCGCCCATGTACACCTTCAGGCGCGCCCACCTGACGGCGCGCGCTGTATCGGGCCTCACCTCAACCGTAGAGCCCGCATGCCCAAGGCCGTCGGACCAGGATACAATGGCGCTTGCCAGCGCGAGCGCCTGGCAGAACCCAGAGCCCGAACCCGCCAAAACACCGCGCTGAAAAGCTCCAAGCGTCGACTGTCCCGCGGCGCCGATGCGGCAAAGCGTTGGAAACCTGCGGTCCGAACCCTCAGCTGTCGCCCACGGCGCTGGCGCTGGGCCAGAGATGCACCGCTGCCCCGCGACCTCGCGGCGCCGAGGCACTGCGGCGCCGACGGCGCCATGGCTGGGATGCGGCGCGCCGCGGCCCGAGGGTGGCAGCCCTGACCCGCGGCCGCGGAAATCGGCGGCGCCTGCCGCCCCCAACGATGCGCGAGGCGGCCGGCGCCCAGGGGCCAACCGCCCGCGATTGTAGAACACAACGCATCGCAAACTGCACCCTGGAGAAAAGATCTGCCAGCGGCTGCCAGCGCGCCGACGGGCCCAACCAGCTTCAGCTACCCCCCCCCCCCCCCCCTTGCCGCCAGTTCCAGGTTCGGCGGTCCTAGCGGAAGCTGGTAGATTGCGAAAATTTCACCCATCGCCCTACACGTAACAAGATGTTACAAGGCACCCGCTACCAGCAACACCAAACTTCAGATGGGTGAGTCGACGATCGGTTCGGTACCGACCCCAAACCCTGAACTTATGAGTCGACGATCAGCTCGGTACCAACCCCAAACCCAAATTTCGTGCTACCAAATGAAAACCATTTTTTTTGCGCAATGGCAATTTTTTTTGCTAAATGGCATTTTTAAAAAAATGGCAATTTTTGTTGGGCGATATTTTTTGTCGACCATGAAGTCGAAATCTTGACCCCAAATATTTTTCCCCTGCGATCGTTGGGTCGACATCGCCACCCCAATTTTTTTCCCCGTGGAGTTGTTGGGTCGGCATCGTCAGCCCGTCGTCGTCGACGTCGTCTTTCGCTCGGCGTCGCTTCGTCGACCATGGCAACACTAACGCGCGCCAGCCTGAGGACTGCTGGCGCCCGCGCGCAGCGCGCAGCGCCATCGCGATGGGAGCGCAGCGCGCGTCGGGGCGCGCGACGCAGGCGGAGCGGACAACGGGCGAAGACATGGCGTGGCGCGCGGGACAGCGGCGGACGCTCAAACACAACCCGCGGGCACTGCGAGAGCGATGGGCGAGGCGCCCACCCCGCCCCCCCCCCCGCGCCCGACAGAAGCAGTCGAGAGGCGAGCTGCCCCGACGCGCGGTGCACGGCATCGCGCCGCCGCTGGCATCTCTGACGCGCAGCCGCCGCGCGCGCGGCGCGACTGGACGTCGGCGGCGCCCTCGCGCGCCGCTTCCGCGCCGCGCGCCTGCAACGGCGCGCCCCGCAAGACGCAGTCCAACGCGCGCGCGGCGCCCCTGCTGGCGCGGCGCGGCAGCGCGCGATGTGCTGGCGAGAAGCCGCCGCGCGCACTGGCCGACACGCGCGCCGCTGCTCTGAGGGCCGCCCGTCTTCAGCTGCGCCGTGCCGCGCCGCGCTGGACGCGGGACTGCCGTCGGCAACGGATCGCTGGATGGGACAGAGCAAACGGCCGCGGCGACGAATCCTTCAGATGGGCGCCGCGACAGGAAGCCGTTCGAGGCGTCGCGCGCGCGTTCGCGGCGCCGCCACGCGGCGGCGGACGATGGCCTCGCGCGGCGCACAATGCACAGCGCACTACCGCCCGCAAGGAGCGCCCCATCGCACTGCAAGTGGGGGGGCGGGCGCGGGCGCGCCGCCGCGGCGCCGCCAGGACGCGACGCGCGCACTTGCAACGCCGCGCATGTCAACTATACCAACACCATTGGGCGCAAAGGCTCGCCGCGGCCACGCGCGCGCAGGGCGGCGGCGGCGCGCTGGGCAAACCGCCCGCTGCGTCGATTTAGACCCCGACGCATTGTCTTGACGCGCGCAGCCAAACCGCGCGCGCGCTGCCTTGATGCACGAACGCAAGCCAAACTACGGCTGCAACTTGCGATGCGGAGAGATAACTGCAAACACGAAGCGCAGACGACGAACATGATAAACCAAACGCAAGCGCACCGCGCACACCTATCACATGCGCATGGTGTATCATGTCGTGAAATGCGCAGCCAGACGCACGCAGCCTCGGGGTCGACCTCGTCGACGCACCGCCCGCCCTTCCAGCCTGCTGCGCTTGAAAGTCTGCATGTGGTCGGTGGCTCCCCTGGGAACACCGACGCTGTAGAAGTGGTGATGGCCCGCTTTGAAGTGAGTTGCTTGCCCTTCTCGAACCAGGGCTGGCGCGTGGGCTTCGTCGAGGTCGCCCCCATCCTGAAACCGTGGTGGCGATCGCGCCCCCTATTGGAACAGCGCTCGCGCGTCGGCCCGCGGCGCCTGTGAACGGCCGCTCGGGCGGCACCTGGCCATGGGCGCCGCGCGACACTCGCGCCCAGGCCGCCCGCCCGCGCACTGAGGCAACGCAGTGTAGCAATTTCGCTTTTCGCTGATGATTGGTTTTGAGATCTGCGTATATTACGCACGTCGTGCTGATGGCACGGTAGTGTCCCTTGCGGAAAGCATGGGCGCACGGGCAACACTTGGTGCAATGCAAATGCTGCGCGGCCCGTGCGCACGCGTGCTGCGCGCGGCGCCAGCGTGTTGTGCTGGCCGTGGGTGTCACGGCGTTGCTAAAATTTGCAAATGGTGGTTAGTGATGGGGCTGCCGAAACCCAGACATACCCTCGCCCCCTCAAGTTTGCGCGCACGTACGTGGCCAGTCCACCTGTAGCCACTACTAGCGTTCGCAATGCGTTGCTCGCGCCATCATTCAGGGGCCCCAAGCTCGTCGAGCGCAGTGCAATTGAAATGCGTTGCGTTGGCGCCGCGCCCAGATACACTATGACTGTGACTGTCCAACACCACCGCTGCCGCGCGAACGGCGGGCGCGCGTGCCCTTTGTGCCCCCCCCCCCCCCCATCCACCCCCCCTTCTCCGCGCCCCCCATCCACCTCCTCATCCTCCTCCTCATCATCATAATCGTCATGTCGTCCTCCTCCTCCTCCTTCTCCTCCCGCCCCCCCTCCTCCTCCCCCTCCTCCTCCGCCTCCTCCTTGGTCCCGTCCTGATTCTCCTCATCCTCACCATCATCAGCATCCTCTTCCGCCCCCCCTTCCTCCTCCTCCTCTTCCTCCCCCTCCTCCGCTTCCTCCTCCTCCTGGGCGCATTGGTTGTCGCAGGGCGCATTGGCGGTGTCAGCGTGTCGGGCCGTCGGAAAAGATTTCCGAAACAAAAACGTTAGCAATGCGCCAAAAATGTGCACCATCTCATGTGCACGCAAACGTGTTCCAATGTTGCGAGGCTCGCAATAATGCGCCAACATGGTTTCGTGATGGCGTTGTCCATGGGGTTTGCAGCCAAACCGTCCCACTGTGCATCGCGCGTGACCGCGCACACCTTGGAAGGACCCCCATATTCGTGCATGGCGTTTTCTTCGAACACTTTAAAAAACGAATGGCGCGCAGCTCTTGTATTTGCAATTATTTATACAGCGTTCGCCCAACATGGCTGGCAAATGTTGCAGGCGCAACTATTGGTTACGCACTTTAAAATCACGCTGCCCTGTTGCAGTGATGTCAGACAACATTACTGATGGTATTGTTCCTCATTGGTTGGTGCAAACAATATGCGCCGCATAGTGAAACTTTCTGCATGCGCCCACGCACGCGGGCGAACGACGTGCAGCATGTAATCATACTAAGACGTGGCGCCAACACCATACCTAACCACTCGCACGCCCGATGGCCAGCTATCCCCTCAAGAGCGTTACGACAACAAAAACAACGGACTTAAACGCGTTGGCATGGTGTTGTTCGCCTGTCCAGTTGAAAGAAAAACCTGCCCGGCAGCGTGCCTCCAGGACGCCATCGGGCGATTGGAAAACAGCTAACGTAACTGACTGGTGTGGAAATGTAAAACGAATGTATTTGCAAAACGTGACACCGATGAACCCACATGCGCACATGAGTGTACAAGAACTGGCGTGTAAGTATATATGCATTAGCGCGCGGACATGCAAACGTTTGACCGTGTGACGCAATGGTTTTTCATGACACCCCCTGGGCAACATGCGCGTGCATGCATGCAAGCACCCTGCGGTTGACGCGCGCGCAATATTATGAACACGCCCGTTTGCACAGACTTGCGCACCAGCACGCGTGGTGGTATTCGCGCATGCGAACGCAAGATACAATGTGCATGTATAGCTATGCGCACCACTACATGCAGCGGGGCACATATACATTCGCACACATACAAACGAAAACATACAACTCGAACTGTTCAACCATTTACTCTTACCCTGATCGCATTTACATAGTTGCAAACTGGCGTTAGCAAAGACTTATACGCACGTATATATACACACGGACACGCACATCAATTGCGCAAGCGTTGAAATGACATAGCCACGTCCTCTATTTAAGCATCTATGCAATCGCATTTGCTCGCACGCGTGTCCGGTACCATACTTACGTTGTATTCAAACATGATACTCAGATAGTGCGGGAAGACACTAGATGATACTGCGCATACACTTACTGCTTGTGCGTATGCGCCGACGCTTGTCATTGCAAAGATCTGGGGTTACCCCTCAGACAGGTCAAAGACGCACCCGTGCTATTCTACATTGGCTTAGCGTGGGGGGTGTGGCGGCAGGTTCGGGTTGAAAGCTTCGGGGTGGGGGGGGATCATATCCGCCATACTCCACCTCCGAACCGCCACCCTCTCTCGAGGGCGCCTCAGGCAATAGCAACCCTACAACCACAAGGTCGGGCCGACCCTTCCCCCGCCCCCCCCCACGTGCCGAGCGCGGGGGTGGCAATCGGCAAGGGCAAAAGGGGCCCCTGCCATCATGCTGAGGGAGCGGGGTGGCCCCGCCGCCGATGCCGCTCCACGGCTGCCGTTAGGCTCGGCGGCGGGGTCGGGGGCCCGGCGGGCCGCCGCTTTGGGCGTTGCATGCGCCTCCCCCGCCTCCCCCTTTAACCCCTCGAAGCTACCCCCTGCCATCGTTGTGTTGTTTTTAACACAGGATGCCACCGTGAGGTGTGGTGCTGCTCGTGCGCGAAATCGCCCTCGGCAACTTCCATGGTGCATCTCGCCTCAGCCACCGCTGGCTGCATTCTCTGAGACGCTTGAGACATCAATCCAACATGCAAGCCCACCTGGATCAGACAACCAACACGTGCCAGCAGGAGTGCAAAGAAACCATGGGGCACTGGAAGGCGGGAAGGTACGGGGCTGAGAAACATGCGGAATAATAGTGGCACGATGGGGCCGCAGGGGCACGGAGGAGGATGCGAGTGATTGCCTGGAGGAAGGTCTAGACGCTAAAAGATTAAATGAAGGAGAGGCTCAGGGCGAGGGAACAACAATGATGAACAACATTACGTGCAACAACCTGCGTGCCAGACAGCACAGTACAACGTCTCAACTCAAGTGAAATTCAAGTTCTCGCGCGTGGCGTCTGCGCCATCGCCGCCACCATCTTCCACTGAGGCCAGTTCGGCCCCACCCTCAAGCGCAAGGAGCCGCATGCGAGCACCCCTGCGCTCCACGACCGAAGGGCGAAACCGCACCTCAGGATGAACATGATAATATCGAGTAGCTGGGGGATGGTCCGGGCTGCACTGCTCAAGCCACGCCGTTAACCAACCGAGTGGTCTCCCTTGCCCATGCCTGCGGCCAGGGTCCGCACGACGAGATGTTTTACAACTGATGCCACCTTTGTGATCAGGGCACTTGCAGACTGCAATGTATTGGCAAATATTCTTATCATGATAAAGTGCGATGTAACCCAGGTCGCCAACACGTGCGCGATACAGTACAACCCCCAACTTCCCATCATATGAGAAAGAGCGTTCCGAAGCTGCAGATGATGAAGACGAATCTTCATCTGAACCAGACTCAGACTCACTGCTACTGCTACTGGTAGAGGCAGCGGGCACAGGTGGTGGTGGCGGTAGCAGCGGGTCTGGGGGGTCACCACGCTCGACACCACCGTCATTATCGCCATTGTCACCGCCACCATCCTGGCAATAATCGCGCACCGACCCTGAGTGGTCGCCATGTTCCGACGCCTCGGCGATCTCATCCTCAAGTTCACCATGCTCGGGTTCATCCGAATCGTGGTCATGGTCAGCATCCGAACTATGGCGGCCATCGCTCTCATCGTCTGCGGCCCCCTCCGCAGCCCGCAGATCAATGTGCACATCAACCTTTTTTTGGCGCGCAGGGCTGAACACCTTCCACATCCGAGCGTTACGCAATGCAACGACACAGCGGTATGGCGCCATGTCACCAACGATTTCTGATGCCATCTCCACGCGCCAGAAGGACGCATACCAATGCGACGGCGTCGCGAGAGAAGCTGCGAATTCATAATCAATGAAAAACTCGCCTTTGGTGAAGAGTTCAACGCTGTGCAACGGCTCTGACAAACATATGGCCCCAGCATCTGTGCGAGCCCGCGCGCGAAGCTCAGGGTCCTTCGGGCGCAGCCGTCGGTAAACAACCTCAGGGACCCGCACTCTGTCAAACGACAGAATGCAACAAACCTGCGTGCTCAGTTTTCCAGACACAAGCACACATGGCCAATAAACTTGCGACATCGCGCCCCGCTGGGTTCAAACCAAAAGCGACTTCGCCTGGCGAAAGACCCAACCATATGCAGATGTAGGTACCGCAATCGTGTCTGGAATATTTTTTTTTGGGGGGGTCGTATAGGGGGTCGACGGTCGACGTGCGCGAGGGCGTGCGTAAACAGAAAAGCGGCGACGCGCGTGCGTTAGCGCTGGGGCATGTTGCGGGCGCTTGGCCTCAATGAAACGAGGCGCCATGCGCTGCCATTTTGTCCCCATGTTCTTCCCGCCTGAGTTTCCTATGGGGGAGCTCCACCGAAGGATCCAGTGGCAGCGCTGACATGCGGGACCGCCACAAATTTCGGCGCGCCCCTCGCACGCCCCGTGGCCCCATCAAGAGCTCCACCGAAGGATCCAGCGGCAGCGTTGGCATGCGGGGCCGCCGCCCATTTCGGCACACCCCTCGCTTCGTGGCCCCATAGGGAGCTCCACCGAAGTCCCAATGGCAACGTTTGGGGGACCGCCTGCCTTTTTCGGCACGCCCTTCACGCGTGTCATGGCCCCATGGGGAGCGATATCGAAGGCTCCAGTGACAGCGTTGACATGCGGGACCGCCGCCCATTTCGGCACACCCCGCGCGCGCTGCGTGGCCACATAGGGAGCTCCACCGAAGGCCCCAGTGGCAGCGTTGACATGCGGGACTGCCGCCCGTTTCGGCACACCTTGACACGTTTCGCGGCCCCGCAGGCAGCTCCACCGAAGGCTCCAGTGGCAGCGTTGACATGCGGGACCGCCGCAAATTTCGGCACACACCCCATGCGTTGCGTGGCTACATAGGGAGCGCCACCGACGGCCCCTGTGGCAACGTTGACACGCGGGACCACCGCCCGTTTCGGCACCCCCCTCGCGCGCTTCGGGGCACCATAGGCAGCTCCACCGAAGGTTCCAGTGGCAGCGGTGGCGTGCGGGGCCGCCGTCCATATCGGCACACCTCTCACGCGTTCCGCGGCCCCATAGGGGGGCTCCACCGAAGGCGCCCGCGGCGGCGCTGACATGCGGGGCCGCCGCCCACTTCGGCACGCCATTCACGCGTGTCGTGGCCTCATAGGGAGCCCCACCGAATGCTCCAATGGCAGTGCTGACATGCGGGGCCGCCGCCCATCTCGGCACACCAATCACGCGTTTCATGGCCCCATAGGGAGCTCCACCGAAGGCCCCAGCGGCAGCGTTGGCATGCGGGACAGTCGCTCATTTCGACACACATCTCACACGTTTCGTGGCCCCATGGGGAGCCCCACCGAAGGCCTCAGTGGCAGCGTTAACATGCGGGACTGCCACTCATTCCGGCACACCCCTCACACGTTTCGTGGCCCCATATGGAATTCCACCGAAGGCTCAAGTGGCAGCATTTGCATGCGGGACCGCCACCCATTTCGGCACACCCCTCACACGTTTCGTGGACCCATCGGAAACCCCACCGAAGGCCCAAGTGGCAGCGTTTGCTGACTATCACCCATTTCGGCACACATCTCACGCGCTTCGTGACCTTATAAGGGGCTCCACCGAAGGCTCCAGTGGCAGCGCTTGCATGAGGGGCAGCCGCTCATCTCGGCACACACCTAACGCGTTTCGTGGCCCTATAAGGGGCTCCACCGAAGGCTCAACTGGCAGCGCTTGCATGCGGGACCGCCACCCATTTCGGCACACCCCTCGCCTGTTTCGTGGCCCCATAGGGAGCCCCACCGAAGGCACCAGTGGCAACGCTTGCATGCGGGACCGCCGCCCATTTCGGCACACTTCTCACACTTTCTGTGGCCCCATAAGGAGCTCCACCGAAGGCCTCAGTGGCAGCGCGTGCACTCGGGACCGCCACCCATGTCGGTATGTCCTTCACGCGTATCGTGGCTATGGGGCTACGAAACGTGTGAGGGGCGATGCTGATGATGGCGGTGATGCCGTCGATTGGAGGAGGGGGGGGGGGAGGAGGGGGGGGGGGGGGGGGGGGGGGGGGGGGGGGGGGGGGGGGGGGGGGGGGGGGGGGGGGGGGGGGGGGGGGGGGGGGGGGGGGGGGGGGGGGGGGGGGGGGGGGGGGGGAGGGGGGGGGGAGGGAGGAGGAGGGGGAGAAGAAAGAGGACGGGACGCGGGGGAACGGCTCTTCAAAACGAGGACCCAACACCACAGGACGGTCGGGATCAATTCAAAACGGTGGTGGTGGTAGGGTGGGGCAACGAGCAATCGTGCAACGCGCTGCCTTTCAAGAAAGAACCCAATACCACAGGATGGCTGGAAGACGCTGCCAGGTCGCTACCGTTGGGCCCCTTGTGCGTCTGGAGGGGGGTGGGGGGAACGAGGACTGCTGTTCGAAAGCAGCTGATTGTGCTTTCTTGGAATAGGCGCAGACCAACTCCTTAGCACGACAGTGATGCCCATGCGTGGGCCACCTAACCGATTGTGTATTATCTACATGCTCATGTTATTGTGACACGTTGTGTTGACGCGCGTCTCCAAACTATAGCACGTGCTCTCGGCTCGGCGACGCGCTGCCCTTGTCCCAAACAGTGCCTTGTCATCAGAAATGCACCATGCGACATTGCAAAGAAAGAAGTCGAATCGCAAGGCCTGCAAAAACAGTTGCGCCTGCAAGGTGGGCAAGCACATGTTCCCAAGGAACGGCTGTGGCGTAGCTCTCACATGCAAATGGTGCTCCCCAACGGCGGCGGCGTTCGCATGCGCCCCCCTGCCCGATGCTGGCGCACCCCTCACGCGTTTCGTTTCCGAAGCAAAGGCCCAAGCGACCCCAAGGCCCCCCCGCGACACCCAAGAACCCCAAGGCCCAAGACCCCCAAGAACCCCCACGAACCCCCAAGACCCCCAAGACCCAACCCCAAAAGACACCCCAATACCCCCAAGACACTCAAGGACCCCCAAGACCCCAAATGCACCCCAAGACCCCCCAAGACCCAAAATAGTGGCCCACACGACCCTCCAAGACCCCCAAGACCCTCAAGACCCCCCGCGACCACCCGAGACCCCCAAGACCCCTAGAGGTCCAAGATCGCCTAAAGGTCCCAAAAGCCCAAAGACACCAAAATGACCCAAGACCCCCAAGACCCCCAAGACCCCCCAAGACCCCCAATACACCTCAAGACCCCCAAGACCACCCAAGCCAAGACCCCCCAAGACCCCCGCGACCCCCCAATACATCAAAGACCCCCAAGATCCCCAAGACACCCAATACCCCCAAGAGCACCCCACGACGACGCCCAATAGGCCCAAGGGGCCCAACACCCAAGACACCCGACGGTAGCCCGAAACGCCCAATGCACCCGAGACGCCCGAGACACCCAAGACACCGAAAGACATCGGAGACACCGCGAAGGCCGCTCCTTGGTGCTGCCAACGATGTGGAGGAGAGGGGAAGAAGGGGGCGATCTTTGTTTCGTCTGCCCCCAGGGTCTCTGTCTCCCTCGTCGCCTCGGCTTGGTTCACAATCGAAATTCTCAGAACGCGCGAAACCGAACGAACAAACAACAAAGGGGAGTCGAGGCTCCACCACCACGAGGCGCCCTCGGGCGCAATGACCGTAAGGAGGGGGGTCGTGGGGGTCGCAGGGGTCGTGGGTTTTGTGGGTAGTGTGCCTCTTGGGGGGCCTTGGAGTGGTTTGGGTTTTGGGCTCCTTAGGGCGCATTGGGCTTCTGGGTCTTGGGCCTTCGTTAGGGGGCCCCGCTGTATTTCCTTTGGGGAGTCTTGTTGTTCGCGCAGGTTGTCCTGAGCCCGTCTAGGTGGTCTTGGGCCATCGTCTGGGCGTTGGTTCCCCCTCAGGACCCAGTGCGTCTTGGAGGTCCGTTTGGTTATTCTTGTTGGGCCTTCGGGAAGGAGATCATGGACGGGTCGTTTGATCGTCTCGGACGGCGTCTCCAGAGCCGTCTTGGGCCCCCCCCCCCGCCCTTCCCCCCTTTGGGCGCAATAGGAGGCCAAGGCAAACAGCAAGCCATGTAAGTCCGATTGCCGCGGGGGGGCGCGCCCCCTCAGAGGATGGGCAGGGCTGCTATCTGGGCGCGCTCTGTGCGTCACCCCGCGGCCCGATCGGCAATGGGCCTCTGCCGCCAGTAGGGCCCTGCCCCACTCGGTCAACCCGTTCGCCTTCCCAGCGGAAGGCGGGCAGAGGGGGGGGGCCCATCCTTGCCCTCCGATTGGAGGGCGATGGTATGCCATAGGGGGGTGCGGGGGCTGGCGCGATCACCCCAACTACACCCAAAGACACGCAAGACACACAGGACCCCGAGACCCGAGCCACCCAAGAACTCGACGGCACCCGAAGGTACCCCAAGACCCCCAACACCCCCAAGACCCAAGACCCCCAAGACCCGCTTGGTCCAAGACACCCAGGACCCCCTAGACCATCCAAGACCCCCAAGACCCCAACATGCACAAGACCAATATAATAAAGGCCCCAAACAACCACAGACACCAAAGGGACCCAAGACCCCCAAGACCCCCAAGACCCCACGATCCCTCAACCCCCCTCCCCTTCCCCAAGGCACCGCCGCAAGACCCCCATGACCCCCGACCCCCCCCACGGCCCAAGACCACCGATGCCCACAAGACCGCCGCCGAGACACCCGAAGACCCTAAAGACCCAAGGCCCTCAAGAACCCCACGGCCCCCAAGACTCACGCGACTCCAAGAGGCCCAAGAGGCCCAACCCCTAAAGGTCTTCAACGCCCAAAGGATCCAAAGGGACCCAAGACCCCCAAGGCCCCCAGACCCCCAAGACATCCCAAGACCCCCACGACCCCCCAAGTCACCCCAGACTCTGACACCCAAAGACACCCTTGGCCCACGACCCAAGACCACCAATACACCCAAGACCGCCCCAAGACCCCCAAAACTTCAAGAGGCCCAAGGCACCCTAAGGGCCCAAAACGCCCAACGCCACTAAACGCGACCCGAGACCCACAAGACCCCATATGACCACCAAAGCCCCCCACGACCCCCAAGACACCCCACGCCCCCAAGACCACCCAAGCCCAAGACCACCAAGACCCCCAAGACCAAAAAGGGACCCAAGACACCCAATGCCCAATACCCCCAAAGACCCCACACTACACACACGACACCCAAGACTTCAAGGCCCAAGAACCCCAAGACCCCGATGACACCCGATGGCCCCCAAGACCCCCAAGACCACCCTTGCCAAGACGCCCAAGACCTTGGCCCAAGACACCCAAGACACTCACGACCCGCAGGACCCCAAGACCCTTGCCAAGACCCCAATAGGCCCAAGAACCCCTAAAGGCACCAAACACCACCAGACCCCAAAGGGACCCAAGACCCCCACGACCCCCAAGACCTTTCAATACCCAAGGCCCAGCAACAGCCCCAAGACCCCCACGACCCCCCACGACACCCCAAGACCCCCCAAGACCGTCGCCAAGCACCCGAGGATGGCCCAAGACCCCCAAGGACATCAGGACTCAAGACCCCCAAGACCCCGAGACCACCCAAGACCCCAATACTTCAAGATGTCCAACGCCCTAAAGGCCCCAAAAGCCTACAAACCTCAAAAGGACCCAGGCACCCAAGACCCCAAAGACACCCAAGGCCCCCCAGACCCCACAGCCTGTCACAGGCACCCCAAGAGCCCCCCAAGACCCCCGACCGCCAAGACCGCCAAGACCCCCGAGACCTTCAAGACCTCCCGCGACGCCCAAGAGGCCCACGCCACTCACGACACCCGATGGTGGCCCGAAACGCCCAAGGCACCCTAAGACCATCAAGCCGCCTCAAGGCACCCCAAAGACCCTCACTACCCTTAAGACCCCAAGACGCCCAAGCGGCCCAAGGCCCAATAATACCCCCAACGAACCTCACATACCTCCAAGACGCCCTACGACCCCCACGACCCCGCGATCCGAGACCCCCAAGACCCCGATGATACCCGAAGACACCCCAAAGACCAAGACCTCCGAAGGCACAGACCCCCAAGACCTCACGATCCCCAAGACCCCCCCAAGACGGCCCCCAAGACCCAACATATTCTAAAGGGCCCAAGATCCCCTAAAGGCCCCAAGCACTCAAAGACCCCACAAGGACCCAAGACCCCCAAGACCCCCTAAGAACCCACAAGCCCATCAAGTCCCCAAACGACCACCACGACCCCACATACCCACCCAACGACGGCCCAAGGCCCCCTAGACCCCCCAAGACCCCCAAGACCCCAAGACCCCAAGACCCCCAGGACTCCCTAAGGCAATTTGAAGAAGACCCCCCCAAGACCCCCAAGACACACCAAGATTCCAAGAGGCCCAATACATCGTAAACGCCCCACGCGCCCAAAGACACCAAAGGGCCCCAAGGCCCAAGCCACCCAATACCCCCGAGACCACCCTAATACACCTATGGCACCCCAAGACCCCCCAAGACCAACCAAGACCCCCAAGACACCAACGGCACTCAAGACCCACAATATGGCCCAAGACCACCCCCACGACGCCCAAGAGGCCCACGAGACTCACGACACCTGATGGTGGCCCGAAACGCCCAAGGCAACCGTGACACCCAAGACGCCCAACATTAAAACGCACTGGGGGACCGCAGAGGCAGCCCATTGGTGCTGCCAGCGCGCGCAACTGCGGAGGAGATGGGAGGAAGGGTGCGACTTTTGTGTCGCCGAGACGGCCAAACGACCTGTCACGAAACCCCTTCCTCAAATACCCCAGCACATCTCCGCGTGTATGACCATGGCAACACACATGGAGACACACCCACAAAAGAAGCCCAACGCCACCTGACGGAAACCCAAGGTCCATCGGCCAATTGAAGCCGCAGATCTCTTGTACAAGCCCAATGTCACCTGAAGAAGGCCCAGGGCCCCATGACGAAGGCCCAAGCCCCCCCAGCAAGCCGATCGCCACCGTGGAAGCTTCAGGCCCTCCCCAACGACCCCCCGGACCCCCAAGACCCTCAAGACTCCAAGAGGCCCGAGACATCCTAAGTCCCCGAGGCGCCCAAGACACCCACGACGCACAAGGCGCCCAAACGCGCCCAGACGACCCAATACCACCAAGACCCCCAAGACCCCCCAACGATCCAACGCCCTCAAGACACCCCAGACCCCCAGGGCACCCAAAACGGCCCGACCCCTCAAACGTCCAATACCCCAAAGACCACCAAGAGGTCAAGTACCCCGCAGATCCCAAAACCCCCCGGCATATCCACTATCACAAAGACTTCCAAGAGGCCCAAGACACCCCACGCGCCACCAGGCACCCACGACACCGAACGCTCCACGAACCAAAAGACAACCCCCAGCCCACCCACCCCCAGGACCATCAATATACACCAAACCCAGAAGACACCCGAGGGCCCAACGCTCCCCAGGCACCCCGAGACTCTCCAAGACCCCCACGGCCCCGCCGAAGCCCAAGACACCACAGACCCCCAAGACGACCAAGACCCAAGACAACCAACGGCATTGGAGATACCACAGGCCACAAAGACACCATGTGCACACGACACCCAGGATACCCAAGAGGCCTACGACCCCCAGGCCCCAGGGGTTACTGCGGAAGCCAGAGGCGCCGAAGAACCCCAGGACCCCCCCCCCAAACAAAAAATACCCACGACGCCCAAGATACCCAGCATGCCGAATCTCTCGCGCATATGCCCAAGATGCCAGGGAAATCCAAGACAGAATAGGCACCGAAGGTACCGCGCAACCGATGTAGCCAAGACGCATTTGGCACACCAGAGGCCTTGACGCTCAAAATGCACAAGACACAACCGATGCCAGAGGTACCCAAAAACCCTTGCGGTGCCCAAGGCACCAAAGACACTCAGACGACCCAGTTGCCCCTAGAAACCCGAGGCCCCCTAGACACAACAGGCACCCGAGGCACCAAACCTGCCCGAGATACACACGACCACTTCCAACAACCAGGACACCCAACAAGAACAACGGCCCAAGACGATCACGACCCACACAACACCCAAGATACACCTGATACCCAAGATGCCCCTCAAGCCTAAGACGCCCAAGACACCGCCGTCGGCATCGTTACCGTCGCCGCCCAAGGCGCGAACTTACCCAAGACGGTGGCGAGTCAAGGTCTGGTTGGGCAAAGCCCCTTCTCTATCACAGACAACATAGCAAACTGACAGTAACAAGCATGACTCCAAACTGCCAAACACAGTCTGAAGCAAATCTCAGTCGGATGCAGCATCCAATATTTTGTGAAACATTCGGTTGTAAAGAACCCTCGGATCTGGACGCAACGTGACATGAAAAACGCAATCGTGTGTGAAATGCAAGGCGCAAGCCGCCTCCGCACAGTCAGAGTCGAAAATGAAATCAGATGTGACCCGCAGTCGGATGAGAATCACAGTCGGGCGTGAATCAATGCAGAAATACACATGCTAATTTTGACAGTGGCTCGCCGACGCCAGCGAGACGGTGAACTCAAATGATATCTGCACCAGAACATATCCACGAACCACCCTTAGAAGCTACGCCCTCTAGACGCCCTCCCGAATACGGAGAACCTCCAAAGCTTGCGACACAATGAGGCCCCTTAGTAGCCACCAGAGCCTATTGGTACACATGTGTCTGGGAAGCGTGGCAATACCCCCATAACAAAGACAGGCCCTCCAAGATCCCCCCCACAGAAGGCCCCGAGCGACCCCCCAAGACTGACCGCCCTAGACTGACCGCCAAGATGGCCCCCAAGAAAGCTCGCATCCAGACGGGCCCCTCCAGACTGCCCAATGTAGGCACACCACCCGTGACTTAGCGACTGTATGCTCACTCACGCTCAGACTCCCCAGCGCTGATGCTCTTCTGAATTTGATCACTGTGCGTTCAGACCTGCTCGAGCTCAGGCCCGCCAACGCCGACTTACACTATAACTGGGTTGGCTTGTTGTCAGACTCACTCAAGGCCGAACAACCCCTGGAGTCCGTTCCGGTTCCGCAACCAAACCAACTCGCATTCATAGCCCCACAGTTGCGGAATCATCGTGCCCACGCCCACTCACACCCAGACCCCTGCTCTGACAAGAACGGGCCCAACACACAAGCGTTTGAATGATTAAGTATGTGGGTTGATGCGACTTGCAAGGTGGATCACCTCCCACGGCTTCTGCAACACGTGCGCCACGTGGACCCACAAGCACTCCGACGGGATGGCGCCTGGGTCGAGGGCCGCCAGCTTGCCACCACCATCACGTACTTCAGGCCAAGCACACAGGAGAACCACTATCTCGGATCGCACCAACTGCAGCCGCAACTCCTTCGACCGATGTGCATCTTTCATGCACTTGTGGATGCCGTTCAAGACGGTCACTGCCAGTCTACCACGGCGACTGCATAGACATCGATTGGCAAAAAGACATAAGAACTCAGCCTTCGAATCAGGCAGTGCAGCTTTCTTACCCGTCACGCCCACGACGTCTTTGCGCTGGATGGTGCTTGAAAGCTCTCGAAATACCCTGCGGCATGCGCCGTGGAACCTCCCCGCATCGCCCTGTCGAGCACCTCTGGAGCTGAGCGAGACAAGTCGCTTGACCACATCACGCCAACCAGCAAAGCGAGCCCTGAGGTGCGCGAAGTTGGCGTTCACAAAATCGTAGGAACCATTCCACACACGGGATGCAGGAGACGTAAGGTCGTCTGGAGCAGCGCCTCTGAAGACTGACAGTGTGGTATATACAGGCCCACCGGGCTCGTACTCGGCATCATCCAGCACGGTTGATTCCTCACGCTCGGCCAACATAGAACAATGGAGGGACCTCTTGCGGCCCGCACGGCGCTCGCTGATGAGCTGCAGGGCTTCCGAGGGAAGGCAATCACATGCGGTCTCGCTCAGCGATCGTTGCCGCGCGGCTGGTATAACCGACAGCTGGCTCGAAGACGCCTGTGACCTCACTGACCGAGCATTCGGGCCAAATGGGCGGGGGTCGCCCGCAACATAAGCGTCATCTGCTTCGCGGGCCATCTTGGCATAACGGAGCCGCTCATCAACAGACAACCCACGGTATCTCTGAGAGAGCTCAGCGGCGGTAGGGACGTCGGCACCAGTTTTACCAAGCTTAGCCTTTCCGCCGGGAACAATGCCCAACGCGCGACGACTCAGGCACCCGCCACAGCCACACCAGGAACCCTCGAAACCCCAATGGAGACTTCAGCGGAGCACACGCGCGCGAATACATATCGATGTGCACACCCTCATTGCCACGCCACTGGCGCTGCTACACCCTACTCCCCCCACGCAGCTTTCCAAAGCACGTTTCTCACCCGTGGATATCCGACAAAATTGCCGACCCAGACCGTGGGGAAGAACAAGAATAAGAGAGAAGAATAAACAAAAGAACAACCAAACCAACAAAAAAAAAAACGAACATAACGCATGCACTGTGGCACCATATGTGGCACAGGTGCCACCTCCCAGGGATGCCTGCCCCCTCGCCTCACACTGCATCCCTTTCCAATCTCCATCAAACCCATCCGGTCACTCATCTTCTATTTAAACTGAGATGCGTTGACCTGTGGCGGCTACCTGAATCGGCGAGCACCTTGAGACTCCAGTCCCGCCGCAGCCTCCGCTCGAAATGCGCCCCAGCTGCTGTGCCGCCGCTGGCGCTCGCTGCCCCCGCTGGCGGGCTCAGGCATCGGCGGGGCACCTGGACGGACGGCAGGCTCCGACCAGCTGCGAGCCTCCTCCTGCAGGCGGTCGAAGATCCACCACGCATTCAAACCACGCATGTCCAAACTCCTTGCCTGGACCGATCGGCTGTGCATGAACCTGCGGCAACGCTGGCGCCGCCACTCGATGCCCACCGCCTCGTTCCTCCCGTGGATCGCTATCGCCAGCAGGTCGATCTTGGCCTCTGGCTTCGCGATGTCGCCGCCCCAGTAATCGAACCATGCTCGAGTGCCGCGGTCGAGGCGCCTGGGGCAGGCTGCGTCCGCGATGATATCGTCCTCGATCGAGCTCAGGATGCGATACAACAGCAATGCACTTATAAGGGTAGTTGCTCTTGTGGTCGGCCAGCTTGTGGTTGAGGGCTCCACTGCGGGACAAAGTAACAAATATACGCGTCCGCAACGACAGTGTCCGAGGAGGGAATGGCATGGCGCCCCAAGGGTCGGATTGCCGAAGCTGCTTCGCATTATTGCTGAACTCATTTTCAACGCTGCGCTCGTAGGCGTCGACCACGCGAAAAGAGCGCTGCCCCGAACGAGAAACGTAGTCATCAGCGCCGCCACTCTGACGCCCCATCGCGTCGCTGTCACATGATGCTGACCTCCGAATTTTGCTGCGCTTGAGTCGCTGGGCTTTGTCGTACCCCTTGCCTGCGACCCACAAGCTGCGTTGCGTGGCGATGACATGGGGCCATATGCAAATGCTGAACAACAGGCAATCTGATAACGCACTCCCAGACAGAAGCCAGATGACCGTTGCAGTTCTGTAGCGGTGCTGCTCCTGCTTTTGTTCGTCGAGCGAGTTCTTCGCCCGTTGTTTTGCATCGCCGCCAATGCCCCCCCGCTGCGCCGTCGTCACCACCTGGGTCTCCCACGTCGCCGCCGGCGTCCTCGAGGTCGGGTAGTCCACCTGGCAAGCCCTCCACGGCCACCCTGTCATCCAGGGCTCCAATGTCAGCAATGGGCAGCGCCAGGCCGTCGTCAGCTCCTGGAGCGATGCCGCCGTCATCACCTATGGCGGCTCGGGGGACAGCATGCCCAACCAAGGCCATGGAGCGTTGGTAAGCATCGCGAAACACCCCGATCACCAATAAAAGCGCGATCCACCGAGGAGCGAGCTCAGCTTTTGTCCAAGATCTGCCTGGGAACGGGGGAGGCCCTGCGGCGACCAAAGCGTTGACTGCAGGCCCAAGTGCGCGAACCTTTGTTTCAACATCGACTTCTGACGCCCATCGGTGCCATTTGAGCCGTGTTCCACCCCGCGTGCCAGGAAAATTGATGAGAAGCTGCGTTCGCCTCTCGCTGTTCTCGGCCGCGTCGGGCAGGATGTGCGCCATGTGCTTCAAATTCGCGGATCTCGCGCCAAGGGGAGATGCACTTCTGTCCTCTGGCAAATCCGCAAGTGTCTGCCTCAATGCTGTCTTAAACAACCGTCGGTGGTTCCCAAAACTCAAGCTCTGAACGCACTTGTAGATGAGGTTACCCGCGCGCCCTTCAGCGTCGAATGATGATTCACGGTTGCTTGATTGAATGCGCACACAGCATGGGGTGATGGTCTCTGCGGCAGCGGAGCCAAGAGTCCTGATGGTATGTAGATTTGCCCGTCGTGCTTTAGCCATGGCGCCCTCACGATCCGTTGCGCACGCATTGTGGCGCCTCAAGAACTCCCGAGACAAGTCACCGATGCCCAACACCTGATCAACAATGCATTCTGCTTGGAAATACACTTCGGCCGTTCCCCTGCCAAGGGATTGCGTCGGAACGGGCATGCGCCATGAAAACAATCGCCAACAACCCTTGAGCTCGACGAGGGCTGCAACTGTGACCTCAGTCTGAATCGCTTTCGCAACGCCTGAACTCCTCTCTACATCACCAAAAAAAGCTGCCGCTACCTGATCGATCACAGCGGCAGGCAAACCATAAAGAGTGTCCGTGTCGGATCCGCCACCGTGCACAAGAGCACAGTGAGGCGCGTTAGAATGTAAAGTGCTAGCTGGCTGCCCGTTGTTGTAGCCTTCCAAAGACCACAACCACCCCTCTTGTAGCGCAGGGCTGCGTTCTTGTGGCCCCGCGAAACATGGGCGTTTCGCCTGAGAAACCCTCGCCGAGGCACCAAGCTTCCAGCCGTGCCGTAAAACGCCCGCATGCTAAATGAGCGTTTCGCTTGAGACACCCCCGGGAACACACAGTTGAAATCGGCGGCCTAATACTCGGGATTGCACGCATGACAGGCCCCTGCTTGAGACATCCCAGGAACAGGGGAGCGCGCAAACGTCAGTTTTCACGCGCGCGTTCAAATCGACATCGGCTGCCCTCCGGCCCCCTTTTTTACAAGAGAACCCAGGGCGACTGAGGATAGCGGTGGTGATGTCACATCGTGACGTTTAAGTAAGCGTCACGTCTTGTTCTTGTGCGCTTTGCTGAGCAAGCAATGGCGGCGCGGACGACGACAGCGGCAATGGCGATGGCGGTTTCGGGGCGAACGCCGAAAAAGTCTCACGCATGTTTTTTTTTGCCGTTTTCGGTCGGGAACGCGGCGACGATGATGACCAGGAGGCGGAGGGAAGGGAAAGGAAGAAAGGCCACCCGTCACATGCGACACTTCTCGTTTTGATTTCTCGGAAGCGTCAGAGGTGATACCTCTGACGCGTCGGATCGGATGAACACGACGCGGCGGATGACGATGGTGGTCGTGATGGCAATGAAATTCATTCTGGCGGTAATGGTAGCAACTTCCCGCGGGGCAAACGCTGCAACCGTCATGCGTGACGCCCCTGCCGTTCGGGCCGAAGACGGCGATGGCCAGGAGGAAGAGGGATGAAGAGGAGGAGGAGGAGGAAAATTGATTTTGACAAGGGTACGATACAATGCATATGGCACATTCCGCACTCATGTTGTAAATGGTTATGGCATCAATGACGAGGGGGGTGTGTAGGCGAAACCTCCATTGTTAAACTCCTTTGGTGGGTCCTCATCATATGTCACCATCATCATCATCAACGGGGTCACCACCGCCAACACCACCACCAACCCCTAAGAGGGAACTTGCCAAAGGCTAGGGCACCCGCGTTTGCTCCCGCAAAGGCCTCCGAGACATCTGGGCTGGCACGGCGGCGGGATTGGCGCAGCCAAGAAGATATCGCCATTTTTCAAAGGCGTTTCATCTGAGCGGCGGAATGTATACAGTGTCTGCAACGTGCCATCACCGTCTTTGACATCACGAATGAGCTTAGCAAGGGGATGTCTGACCGCATACACGTGTGCGAGCCACGAGAGACACGTAGTCAACTGAGCCCGAGTACCCATCATGTTGATGGTTGTGTTACATTGTCGTGCATTTTCTGTGAGCGTCTTTGCGGACAACAGAACATTATCACGAGCGACGAGGTGGTCATACACACGGGACGCAGCACTGGACGTTCGCGCTGCTTCCCCCAACTGCAGGACAATATTAGCAATGATCGGGAAACACCTTATCACATTATCCCACAGCTGGCCCACGTCGCACACTCTGTCGGGAATAATGGCGACAGCCTGAGCCGCCACACCATCATCACGGCCGGGCTCTATATCAGGTGGGGGGGGGCGCAATTTCTGGTACAATATCAGCAGCTGGCACAATATCAGCAGCTGGCACAATATCAGCAGCTGGCACAATATCAGCAGCTGGCAGGTCCCCGATTGCAGGGGCAACAACGTGCATATCATCATCCACCTCTGGCTTTGGACAATTCATGATCGGCTCAGGCGCCCTCAACACAGGCAATGTCGGAACAAGTTCATTTTTCAACGCGCTGACGAACAGTCTTCTCAGAATATGTGTGGCATTCGGCGGGGGAGGCGGGTCATCCTCGACATCGATTGCCTCCCCCGCCCAGGCAGAAAGAAAATCCATCGGTGGAGAAGTGGATGGGGAAGGAAATGCTGCAGGCCAAAATGGCTCGAAACAGTGGCATGGGGTCCATGGGCGCTCCAGGGGCCAGCCGTGCACGATACCTGTCGATCTCGACTGTTATCCCTATAGCTTTATGTTACTGTTCGTGTTGCTGTTTATGTTTACTGTTACTGTTACTGTTTGTGTTGATATACCACAGGTACTGTTTAGATTATCCCTGTTTACTGTTTAGGTTATTGATCCCTGCTGCGCATGCCTAATGTTACTGTTTACGCTGATATCCCACATAGGTTTGACCACTGGCGTTGTGCATTGCAAATGCTTGTTGTTATTGCTTGTTCTTCTGTTCGCATCACGTTGTTGGATAATGTTAGTGTCATGCGCTTCTGGGACCCTCGAGGCTGCTTTGGTTTTTGCATTGCACAATTCTCTACCAGAAAATGTGGGTCGATTTTTTCTGTGAAAGCTGAATCAATTCAAAACCAATTCAAAACCAATTTTCGGCCAACTTGGCCCACATGGCAAAATCGAGGAAACAGAAGTCTCAAAACAGGAACGCCAAGAGAAACTCTTCTGGCAAGGGTGGGCCACGAATATCTTCTCCGACCTTAGTCGAAGGAGCGTCCCGAGAACCAGAGCAATTCCTGAGCCCGGATCATTATGTCGGCGCCTTGGCTGTATGGGCCCTAAGATGGTGCTCGATCCGCGAAGGAGACCGGGCCCCCGCCCCGTCTCTGCACGGGACCTCCCCAGGACTGATTGGTCTGCACGAGCGGGGGAAAACATCGACCTGGAACCGGCGATACATCGCAGATAGATCGGCGATAGGCCGATGGGCTCCCGATAGCGAAGCTGCAGTGTGGGTGGCAATAACTTCGCCGGCCCAACGGGCCAGAGGCGTGCTAAGATCTCTGGTAACTGGTTAACAATATGAAACTATGTCTAATTCGCGCGCGCGGGGCGGCCCCTGGGGGTTCCCCTGCGAAAGAAAAACCCGACCGCCGCCCGGGCGCCCGCCCGGGCGCAGCCTGGCCACCCTTTACTCAGAGATGGTTTTCCTCCTGGGTGCGGTCTCTGAGGCCCCACAAAGAGCGCGCCAAGAGGGCCCGAAGAGACATCCAAGACAGCCCCAAAGCGCTCCGAGTCACCGAACGAGCGGTCCAAGACACCCACGATGGCCTTCATACGGCCCTCGAGGCCGCCGAGAAGCCCCAAGAGAGCCTCAAGAGGCTCTCCAAGAGGGCTCCAACAAGGAAAAATCGCCCCATTACATAGTGAAGACAAACATTTGTCGCATATGCGACGTCTGGGATTCACAGGGTCCAGACGTGCCCAAGAGGCCCAATCGCCCCAAGACGGCCAACAAGCCACCAAGATAAGCCCAAGAGGGCCCAAGAGGGCCCGGGTGCGATCTCTGAGGCCCCCAAGAGCGCGCCAAGAGGGCCCCAAGAGGCCTCCAAGACAGCCCGAAAGCGCTCCGAGTCACCGAACGAGCGGTCCAAGACGCCCAAGATGGCCTTCATACGGCCCTCGAGGCCGCCGAGAAGCCCCAAGAGAGCCTCAAGAGGCTCTTCAGGAGGGCTCCAACAAGCAACAATCGTTCCATTCCTTAGGAAAACGTGCATTCTTCGCAAATGCGACGTCTGGGGTTCACAGCGTCCAAACGAGCTCAAGAGGCCCCAAAGATCGACCCAAGACGGCCCAACAAGCCACTAAGATAAGCTCAAGAGGGCCCAAAAGAGCCACAAGACATTTCCGGAGACCTCCAAGATGGCCCAAGACCAAGAGACACGGCTCCAAGAGGGGGTCCAGCAGGAAGACTCGCACGGATATTTCGAGCCCTCGGCCCGAGAGGCCCCCAGGAGCGCGCAAGAGGCACCCGAAAGGCTCCAAAGAGGCCCCTAGAGGCCCCCAAGAGGCCCTAAGATGCCCCCAGCGAGGCCCTCAGGAGGCCCCCAAGAGGCCCCCAAGCGGCCCCAGGAGGCCCCCCAAATGCCCCCCAAGCACGCAAGCAAGTGCCAGCAATGCTACAAGACGGGCCGGCGGAGTGAGCGAAGCGATTGAATATAAGGCTTCTATCGGCTATCAGTGGGTGATCGGGGGCCGACGCGTTCCCCCCCGGACCTACCCCCCCAAATGATCAAGTCGGGTTTCTGGCGGCCGTTCGGGTCGATCCAGGCATCCCGAGGCCAGAACGCAGCCGAGTACAGACGAACCCGTCCAACGCATTCGCCCTCCCTGACATCCGACGTTGTGGAAAATCCCACCAGCCTTTTGGGCGACAGGTGGTCTAAGTAGGATTTCGTTCCTCTTCCACGACCCCTATTCCCTCCGGGGAGGGGAACCCTCCCCCTCCCCTCCCTGAAGTTTTTTGGGAGGGATCGCGAGGTGTCGAAAGCCTCCATGTTCGGCCATTGGGAGAGCCATTTTCCGCCTCCCCTCACAAGGATCGTGGCCCCCGAGGGGGGGACCTCAATCGAGTACCTCCCCCCCCCGACCGCCTCTAAGATGGCCCCAGCGAGGCCCTCCAGGGCTCCCCAGAGGCCCCCAAGAGGGTTCCACTAAGGCCCCAAGAGGCCCCCGTGATGCCTCCAAGAGGCCCCCGAATGGCCCCCAAGCGGCCTTAGAGAGCCCAAGATGACTGAATTTTCCTCCTCCTCCTCCTCCTCCTCCTCCTCCTCCTCCTCCTCCTCCTCCTCCTCCTCCTCCCCCTCCTCCCCCTCCTCCCCCTACTCCTCCTCATCGTCCTCCTCCTCGTTATCATCCTACCCCTCGTCCTCGTCCTCCTCCTCCCCCTCCTCCTCCTCCTCCTCCTCCTCCTCCTCCTCCTCCTTTTCCTCCTCCTCCTCCTCCTCCTCCTCCTCGTCTCCTCCTCCTCCTCCGTCCTCCTCCTCCTCCCCCCCTTCCCTCCTCCTCACCCTCACTCTCTTAATCATCGTCCTCCTCATCCTCGTCCTGCTTCTCTTTGTTTTGCTCCTCATGTATCCTCCCTCCTCCTCCTCCTCCTCCTCCTCTTCCTCCACCTCTCCCTCCTCCTCCTCCTCCTCCTCCTCCACATCCTTTTGTTCCTCCCCCCCTTTTCCTCTTCATCCTCCTCCTCCTTCGCCCCCCCCCCCCCCACACCACCACCACGCGGGCCAGGAAATGATCACAACACGCCGTCCGGGCCAGCCCCCCTCGCTGATTGACTATGCGTGTCTCTTCCCCCCCCACCCCCGTCAGTTCTCATGGGTATTGTTTCTGCAAGGGCTGGTGGGGATTTGTTTGGTACGCGGGCGCGCGAAACGGGTCGCACGCAGGGCGAGCAAGGGCACGCTGTGCCACAAGATCTGGTGGGGATGTTTTTTTGATCGAGAGCGCAAGCGGAAGGGCCGCGGGCCGTCTAACGTGAAGGAACCTAAATAGCACACGAGAAAAAAAAGGAGAAGAGAGACAACATGATAACAGCGGGAGGTGAGACTAACCAGGGCGGGCCGCGCGGCGCTCGCGGAATGGGTGCCATCGGCAGCTAGCAACCGCCGGAGGTGCACGCCAAAGTGGCGGGCAATTGGCTGGCAGTGTGGTGTCCCGTGACCGCGGCGAGGGGCAACCCCGCGGAAGATAGCGGGCCGCAAGCGCCTGCGCCTGTGCGGGGGGCAGCACGCGGGGGGGCTGAGCGAGGCAAGGGATACGCATCCCTGCAAAGGGGATCAGGCCGTCGGGTGCGTCGAAGCCGATGTGGGTGGCGGCGGAACGAGTGAGTGGCGACGACCGAACAACAGTCTGGTGGGGATACTGTTTGTTACCAGCCGCAGGCGAAGGCGCCGACGGCGTGTCAAGGTCCGAACGGGCCGCGCGAGGTCCTACATTACCTAGCAAAAGCAGGCCGACCGCTGCAATTCAGGCCGGGACCAGGAGGTAGCCGAGGGGGAGGGGGCAGAGCGTCTGGTGGGGATACTTTTTCGGTCGCGTCCGCCAGCGAAAGCGCAAGCGGAGTCAGAAGCGTTCCGGGACACGGAAGCGGCCTTATTAGCTACTAGACGCGCCGCAGGCCGGCCGGCCCACTCACCAAGCAGCTGCGGGGCTGCGCGGAAAAGAATGGTGGGGATACGCGAAGAGTAGACAATTGCATCATCCGGAAAAAGTCACGACCAGAGCCCTAGGCCCCATCTCCCTGCTGCGACACTTCGATTTGCGGTGGCCCCGGGGCCCGAAATTAAGGGAAAAGGCTCATTGCGAGAACATTTCAGCGTTTGGATCTCTGGGCCTGAGCCTATCCCCCTGAGGCCCCCTGAGGCAATCCCCCCCTTCTCTTGCCTCTAATATGTCTTCTGCGCGGCGCCCGGGGTTAAGTATTAAGTACGCACGCCACGAATATAAGTAACATCCCGCAGTTGCGGATACTTGGGGGGGCGGCGGGGACGTCGGCAGTCTGCGAGGCCGTGAACAAGCCCGCCGCAGGCGAATCATTTTGCAAACTGTACAATGAGCCCGCCGCAGGCGCCGATTTTTTGTTCAAAAAATTTGGGTTGGTCGCGGGTCGCGGGTTGGTCGCGGACTGGGTCACGGGTGGGTCGCGGGTGGGTCGCGGGTGGGGGCGGGTCGCGGGTGGATCGCGGGTAGGTCACGGGGTGGGTCGCAAGTCGGTCGCGGGTGGGTCGCGGCATGGGTCGCGGGTGGGTCGCGGGCCGGGTCGCGGGGGGGACGACGGCAAGAAACAGCAACAACCAACAAAAAACAACAACACTCCGCACCGCATGAACTCACTTCAGCCACGCGCCCAGGGACAAAATACGACCGTTCGGCCCCCTCACTCTGATGTATACGGAAACCCCTCCGGCCAATGTTGCATCTACCTTCAGGGAGGGCGGCGGTGTATAATATCGCTGGCTCCCAGTGGTGATTTACACACCGCCATCCTCCCCTGCGGCCCAAGAACAATCCATTGGAGGGCGTCTGTATATACATTCTTGTGGCGGGCTGAGGGCCATGGCCCCCCGGGGTGTAGCGGGCCGAACGCGGGGGTATCAGCTCGCGGTACACGTCCGCCAAGAACCTGCGGGCAGGGGGTGGCGGGGCGCGGGGTGGGCGTGGGATGGGGCAGGCAGGAGGGAGCCAGGGGGGGCAGGGCAGAGGAGAGAGTGGGGAGGAACTGTGGAGCTGGCCAGAAGGGAGTGGGCGCCCCGTCCCAAGGACGTGTTCCCACACCGCGTTTCTCGGGGCCCCGGGGTGCCTAGCCCCCGGGGGGGCCTGTCGGCCTTGGCACGCCGACCAGAGAGAGAGAGAGAGAGAGAGAAAGAGAGAGGAACGAGCAAGAGGATCGGGTCGGGCGAAAGGGGGGGATAGCAAAGGGGGGGTTTGATAATCAGCTCACGTAGCTGATTTTCCCGGCGCCTCCCGGCGCCGGGAGGCGCCCATGTATCGAGGAATGGACCCCTCGGTGGGGCCGAAACCAGCTGCATGCAGCAGATTTCGTAACCCCCCCCTTTCCCAATCCCCCCCTTTCGCCCGGCCCGAGAGGAGGGAGGGAGGGAGGGAAAGGGAATGGAAAAGAAGGCGACGGAGCAAGACGGCGGTGGGGCGGCCGCTGTTGTGCAGGCGGCCTTCTGTCTCGAATGGACACAGGCCGCGGCGGCGCGGACAGCGAATCCTGTTCAAAATGAACAGGAGCTTCTGCTGGACACTGTACCCACTCTTTCCGTACCCACTTCGGGCGTCCAGACGAGAGATAGAGAGAGAGAGAGAGAGGAACGAGCAAGAGGAGGGAGGGAGGGAGGGAAAGGGCGGCTGGCAGCACGGGGAGGCGAAGGAGGAGGAGGAGGAGGAGGAGGAGGAGGTGTGAATTGTACTCCATACAATGCAGTTGCGAGTGTATTTCAGAGGTTTTCTGACATAAGATGTTAGATACGACCCTCCCCAGCAGGCATGGCAGAGCATGTGTACAGCACGCAGTGCAGAGCAGCAGTCATGACAGCAAGCACCATTGCCATCTTTAGCTCGAGAGGCCTCTCGGCAAACCAAAAGGTTACCATCACTTCTCCCCGCCCGCAAAGCGAGATCGGGGATAGTGTCGAGGACGTTTCGGCCGAAGACGGGAAACGGATTTCGAGAGAGAGTTTGACGACTTCGAGAGCGTCGACGAGTTGACATTGGTAGCGGAGCAGTAGCTCCACGGACACGGACACGGACACAGAGAAGTACTTCGACAATGGGTCCACCAGACGGCAAAGGGGGACGAGGAGCTGCAGCAGGAGGCGCGCTTGGGCGTGCCGCAGCAGCTGGAGACGGACAGCAGCTCTCCTCAGGAGTCCTGGGTCGAGCCCCAGAGTTCGACGGCTCGATCGACGGGTACAAGACCTTCCGACGGAAGGTGGAGATCTTCGCAGCTCGAGCTCGTGGCAGAGAACAAGAAAGAACAGTGGGTTTGGAGATCATGCAGGGCCTGAATGGTCGAGCGTGGGAGGTGGTCGAGGATCTGGACATCGAGAAGCTCGAGGAGGAGAAAGGTTGGCGGACCATCTTAGATGCGCTCGACAGGGCATACAAGTACGACCAGATTACGGAGCTGCCGACAGACTTCGAGACGTTCTTCTTCAAGATGGCCCGCAAGCCAAAGGAGACGCTGATGGACTACCTCACGAGGTTTCGCACAGCCGAGCGGAAGATCCGCGCACACGACGTAACATTACCAGACAAGGTGCTCGGCTGGTTCTTATTACGACGGGCAGGTTTGGACAGAGAGGGCAAGCAGCTGGTCACCAGCCAGGTTGGCGACGACCTGTCGCTGGACAAGGTAGAGAGCGAGATGAAGAAGACGTTTGGCCTAGACTCCTTCCCAAGCACCAGAGCGAGCTCAGGAGCAGCAGCCTACAACCTGGACGACTACGACGAAGAGGGCGAGGTCCAGGAGGATGCCTACTACCACTACGGGTACGAGGAAGACGACTACTATGAGGACGCTGCAGAGGATCAACAGGCATACGCAGGCCACGGCTTCGATTCCGAGGCGGCCTACTACAGCGAGACGGCCACCGTGAGTGGCAACCCCATGCCGGACCAGACATGCGACGTGGACCATTACGATGAGATCATGGCAGCCTACACGGACGCGAGACAGAAGATGAATGACATGAGATTGGCCAGAGATTTCTACCCAGTTGTCGCGATGGTGCCGCCACCACAGAGAAGCGCAACGGCTATCGTACCCAGGGCCGGTCAGGCTCGAGGGCGAGGCGCGGCACGCGGCACATCCAGAGGAAAGGCGACTGGGAGAGGCACCAGCAAAGGACGTGGCAAGAGTACGTATACCAGCGGACATGGCAGAGGCTCACCTAGACGGGGTCAGCCATCATTCCTGCCACTGATCAGAGCGACGGAAGAGACTATATGCCTACGATGTGGAGGTCGAGGTCACTTCGCCAGAGATTGCCCACATGCGAGCCGCAAGAGACAGAATGTCGGAGACGATGCGGCCGAGGCGAGGATGGTCACCGACGACGCGGAGGACGTGTACAACTCGACCGAGCTGGACCCATCAGAGGCGATACGCGATAGTGGAGCGACCAGCGTGATAGTGGGCCACGAGACGCTCAAGGGCTACTGCAAGCAGTTGGTCACAAAAGGGTTCCCAGTCAACACAATGAAGATATTCCCGTGCAACAAGAGTTTCAGGTGCGGCAACGACGCGACCGGCGATGCGACCGCATGTGTCATGGTCCCCTCCTTCCCTGGCGGCAAGTTCGTGGAGATCCTCACCTACGTGATCCCTGGGCGTACGCCGTTTCTGTTCGCCAGACCGGTGATGGAGGAGCTGGGCATGGTCGTGGATTACAAGAACAAGAGGGCATGCTGGGGCGGTGACGGCAAGTGGTTTCAGCTACGCCAGCAGCCCAAGAGAGGACATTTCATCCTGGACATGCTGGAGAGCTACGATGAGTGCATGAAAGATCGCGCCGACCAGACTCTGCTGCCGCAGAATATGTTGGACCATGTTCGCGTGCAGCACCCAATCAGCCACTACACATTCCTTGGAGACGAGGTGCTGGCCTACGAGGAGTCGGTGGACTTCATCGGCAACATGGTCGAGATCGACAACAAGGTTGCCAGGGCAGACGACGACATCCATATCGCCAAGGACCTCAACGTTAAGCAGTTGCGCAAGTGCCAGGACGCCCTACAGGCGGCCAGCAAGGAGATAGACCAGGAGCTGAGCAGGGCCAAGGACGTCAAGAAAGGAAAGCGCAGAATATGGGAGGTCTATGGCGGCAACTCGGAGCTGACGAAGGAGCTGAGACAGCGTGGACACCAGGCGAGGTCGTTCGGAGTGCACAACGGCTGGGACTTCAGCAAGCCCAGCATACAGAAGAGGTTCCTCAACCTGATCGACGAGGAGCAGCCCGACGACATATGGATCAGCCCCGAGTGTAAGGCTTGGACGATCATGCAGGAGCGAGGTTGCAAAACCGACGAGGACAACAAGTTGTTGCAGCAGCGTCGTGAGGATCATCACCGCACGCACCTGATGTTCTGCAAGCAGATCTACAACAAGCAGTGGCAAGTCTACCGAGATGCTCACCTGGAGCAACCAGCTACGGCACGGAGCTGGAGGACGAAGGCACTTTACGAGTTACCCGGACATCATGTATTATTCGACCAGTGTATGACAAGACTGGAGATTCCAGGGGAAGGCTTGGCTCGGAAACGCACTGGAGTTCGCGCGACACGACGAGGAATGGCTCTAGGACTCAACGAGTACCGGTGTGATAATCAGCATAAACATGTCCACCTTGAAGGCAAGATTCCAGGCACCAACTTGCACCGAGCCAGCTTTGCCGAGAACTACGGGCCCCTCCTGGCGCAGATCTTGAGTAACCTGCTGGAGCAGCCCCCGAGTCAGGGCCCCGACGTCCCGGCGTTGGGCCTGAAGGCGGGCGAGGGCGCGGTGGAGTATATATACCACACGACGGTGGACAACAACGAGGCCAATCAGACGTGCAAGAACAAGATCCGTGATGTTGATGTGGACCTAAGGGCCACACGGCCGAACAATCAGACTGAACAATCCCCCGCGTCGCCCCGAGCACACGGTGGACAAAGGCAAAAAAAACAATCCAGCGGAAAAAGCAAAACAATCAAGGGCCGACGCAACGGCCGATCGCGAAAAAAAAAACATGAACCAACAACAAAAACACAATTTTCTTGTTCATACCACGCGGCCCACCAGTAGCCGTAACGTCCGCTCGCGCTCTGGCGTTTGAACGTCCGGCCGTCGTCGCAGCGGTTCTCTTGAAACCCTGGAGCTCCAAGCGAAGAGGCCACTGGCACGCGAACCAAACCACGATCGGAACCTCAAGGAAGACGACAGGTAGGTCGAACGCCCCGCGTGTGGATCGCACCCAAAAGGACGATCCAGCAAGAGTCCCAATGATCATGCTTGGAAGCCTCATCGACTCAAGTCGTCACGCCCCTCACGCAGATCTAGCACACAAGAAACGCCGACTGCAACCACTCTGATGCACACCTCTGACGCCCGAGCGACAAGTCGGCACCCCTCACGCGGATGGCGCTGCAGAGGGAGACCCAGCCGCGGCACGGTGCTTTGATGTGATAAAGGACGGAGGGGGAGGTGTTTGGACGAGAAAACAGGAATGATAAGGTGGAAAGAACGATGTGGATATTTAAAGGAAGAGGGCAGGGCCCAGGAGTGACGGAAAACACATGCCCAGTCCCCGCAGAGTGGCAAATGAAGAACAAAGAGGTAGACCAAAGAAGAGGAGGACATGAGAGGCGAGAGAGGGGTTGGGGCAAGCAGAGAAAATAAACGATACAACAACACCACGGACATTAGCACGCGCGGTGGGTTAGCTGGGCGGTCCTGGTGCCAGCTGGTTCACCGCGAACAAGGGGTGGGGGGAAGGAGCGGCGGGGATTGCATTTCAAACCGATTGCCGACTCGAATTGGGAGTGGGGTAGGGGGGGCATTGATGAAACGGAGGTCGCGGCAGAAAGTGGCCCAGGAGCCCAGACAGGAAACCCGACAATGATGTAAACCAGACATGGGGGCATGGGGGAACCGTTCCGAATCGGCAATTGGTTCGAATGAAGGATCCTCCTCTCGTACGGCCCTCCGTCGCCATACCTTCTTCTACGTGTCGCCTTCCTCATGTCCTCCCGCATCCCCCTGTCATCTCCGTGCGTTGTTCTCATTCTTCGCCCCTCGCTATCCTCTCCCCCCTCCTCCCACCCTCACGTTGTCATCATTTTTCGTACTCCTCCTCATCCTCGTTGGTGCCCTCATCCTACATCCGCCGTACCCTCTCACCGCATCCACACTCATCACTTGCAATCATCACCGCCATTCCTTATCCTCATTCCTCCTACTCCGCCTGATCCGCTGCCAGTTCCCAGTCTGACGGCATCCCTCTGAACGAAATCGTTACCCCTGAGGCCCCCCCAGGAGGGGCGAGATCAGACGAGCGGACAGGCGGAGAACAGACGAACGGGCAGGGGGGGGCACTCTGCGACCGCGCAGGCCTTGTCGGTTAGGCGCCTGCAAACAACGTGGGCGACGTCATCTCCGTCGCCCGCTGGATTCTAAATGCGCTCGAAAACTCGCAGCCGAGCATTGGCCACTGATGCAATTGCTGGCGGGGCTCCTGGGGGTGCGTTTGCTTTGGGGATGTGCTGTTTCTCTCTGTCCTGGTGGCACCCCCCCTGGGAGAGCGAGGCCGCGGGGCATTAGCGGGCAGACGGCCCTGAGGTGCCGACGCCAGCGAGCTTGGGGCGCTGATGCCAGCTAGCAAACAAAAGAAACAGCGAGCTTGAGAGGCTGGGCGGCGGCGCACAGGGGGCTGCCTACGAGGCCGAAACCAGCGGGCCGATCTTCTTCTGGATGCCGTCGTGGAGCTGATTCAGCTTCCCGCCGAGGTTGGACGTGAACTCCATATACACCTTCGCCACTGTGACGGCCATCGCCGACGGGTCCTTGACCTTCTTGTATGTGTTCATTATCATCCAGCTCGTGTGCGTGACCTTCGCCTTCTGAATAGCGTCGGCCTCCTCCTGTGACCACGAGACCCCTGGAACGCCGTAGGCCTTCAACTGGACGTTCAGGGCAGCAAACTCCTAGGTGCACGCTGGATGATGTACTGTGCTATGCGATGCAATGTCATGGCGGGATGTGCCATGCTGCGCTGTGTTGTGAAACAGCGTCCCAGATCATAGCATCGCAACGCATAACAACAACAATGGCAATCTGAACGCATGCGTTGCATTACGTTGACACAAACATCAAATGACCGTGTCGATCCAAAAACCACAGTGCCGCGTAGCACGCTACTGCGTAGTGTAGCAGACCCGCATCGCATAGCCATGAATAGCACAGCTTGGCGCACCAGGGTTGCGTGCGATTGCATTGCGCAGCATTTCAAGCGATATCATCGCATGCCGTGCTGCACTACCATTATTCCCGAACCAGTGCTTGCACCTGGGGTGCTTACTTGGCATAACCATCTCGGGGTGACTGGCGGCTTTTGCGGGCGGTGCCGCCCGTCGCCTCCATAGCGGTCGCCGTCGTTGCCTCCGCCGTTTGGGGCGATTGGCGGTTTTTGCGGGCGGCGCCGCCCGTCGCCGCCGTCGCCGTCGCCGTCGCCGTCGCCGCCGTTCGGGGCGAGAGGCGGCGCGTGCGGGCGGTGCCGTTCGTCGCCGCCGCCGTTGCCGCGTATATTGCACCACCTAGGTTGCACCACGCATATTGCGCAGCAGGTATTGCATTACACAGGTTGTCGCGCGTAAATTGCACCGCGTAGGTTGTACCACATAGATTACACCACATCTATTAAACCGCCTATATCGCACGACATAGATTGCCGCGCGCAAGTGGCACCACATAGATTGGACCGCATACATTGCATTATATAGGTTGCACCGCCCATATTGCACCACCTAGATTGCATTGCATATGTTGAACGGCATACGCTGCATCACATAGGTTGCATCGCATACATTGCACCACATCGGTGACACCGCATAGACTGCAAGGGAACGGGCATATTGGCTGGGGTCCACGCTGGCTAACATAGATTTCTCGAGGGGCCAGTGCGATCGGTAACGCACCTGTTGTCACAAACATATGCAAGCCAACATTGGCCCATAACTCCCACCATGGCTTTTATAAGTCGAGGCTGACGCCTTCAGCTCCCCTGACTGCCCCCCTAAACTGTAGCGAGCCCCCCCGCAGGACCAACCCTCGGGGCCCCAGGGGCGCCCCGAGTGAATACACAGACCCTGAGAGGGTCCAGCGCGGCAGGGATCATTCAAGACTCGCTTAATCAAACACGCTCGAGCCCATGGAAGACTTTGGGCCCATCGGACCTCGCGAAAACTTGACGCCCCAGCATTCAAATCCTTCTCGAGCGCCGTCCACTCCTTCTTCAGCCCGCCCGCCGTCGAGTTCTCTCCCAGGAGGGTCTTGTCGCAATGCTCCTGCAACATCTTGAAGGACTTCCCTTTGAACCCGCGCTCCCACTCCGCGTCGGGTAGCCCGCCGCAGTTGCGCTTCAAGGACTGGAGCTTCTCCGTCAGCTCATCCTGCTTGATTCGCTTGATATTCTCGCCCACGCTCTCGAGCTTGATGCCCGTCACCTTCTTGAGCTTGGGCGCGGCGGAGACGAGCGCCTGGATACCTGGGTGATCACGGTGCTCCGACGAAGTGATGTCTTTGTTCACGAGGCCGTCCCACTTAACCCTCGCAGCGTTGAACTCGTGGGTGATTGACCTGGACTGGTGATCTCCACAAGCGATGGCCGTCAAGTCTGGCTCGGCATCCCCCCCGTCCCACTTGAAGTACGTCTCCACTGCTTCGCAAGCACGGGCCAGGTTCGAGACTGACGCGAGCGCACTGCCGACGACGAGAAGCAAATTGCTCGACGCAGAGCTCCCCGCAAGCTGGTAAGCAAACACGTTCTTGAGCACCCCGATCGCGTGCACGATGGCGTCGCAGACATCCTGCTTCAACTCGTCCTTCGCCGTGGCGTGAACCATGGAGGATACGAGTGTGCAGACAGCTTCGAGCTCGGAAGGCTGGCGATTGTTGTCACTCAGCTTCTCTGCGCAATCATGAAGCCTCTGAACGAGCTCCACCGTCAACTCTGCGGACTCCTTCTCGCACTCTGCCTGCACCTCCGTGACGATAGCGGTGGACAGCTCGGTGCTCTCGGCCTCGCTCGCCGCTACGGTCGCGGCCTGGAGCTCGGCGAGGACGGTGTTGAGCTCCGGGTTGAAGGGGAACTGGACGGCAGCTTCGCGCATCATGTCCAAGGCGGATGTGGCCTCACCTTCCTGCGGCGATGGCCTGGCATTGATCATCGATACATACTTCAAGCACTTGCTGACGATGCGATGCATGATAGTCCCGTGCATTCGGCTCGACGGTTCCAACCTCCCCATGATCTTGGCAGCGTTAACCAGCTTCGATTTCAAGCTATTCATCTGGTCTGCGAGTTTGAACGCAGCCTCGCCATCGCCCTCGAGGACGATCTCTTCCCTCAGCTCTTCCACCAACTCATCGAAGTCCGAGATGACGCCATCCAGCGATTTGACGTACATGTGGATATCCGTCACAACCCTGCTGTACTTCTCATGGTACTGGACTGCCAGGGCGAAGGTCTTCCGCAACTTCTCTGAGCACCGTGTCTCGGCGAGCAGCAGGACGCCCTTGCATCTCTCCTCGAACTCCCCGCTGTGGAAGATCGCCTCGATGTTCATGCAATCCTGGGTCCCCCGCAGCAGGCGGTTGAGCTCCAAGAAGAACTTCACGGTGACCTCGCCGATATGGCACGATTCCAGCACTCGTGTGATGTACTGTCTCATGTCCACGATGATGCTGCTAATGATCCCCTCGTGGCAGCCCGACTCCAGCTTCGGCAGGAAACAGGACTCGCAGAAATACAAGTAAAACCTCTGGATCTTGCACCACTCGTCGACGGCCGACAATCGGGATAGGCACGGGGCCCGAACGTCGAAGGCCTCGTCCATGGAAGCAGGGAGCGGGATCGGAGCGCAAGCCCTGAACATCGCAGAAGCAGACTCCTTTGTGACATCAGCCTGCAACATCATATCAACCTTCTTCTTCCAGATGACGGCGTTGGCCACGGGGAGCATGCGGACCTGAGCAGAAACCAAAGTATCGTATGACGCCGCCAGCGCGTCGTAGGTGTAAGACCCCTCATGTCGACTGTTGAATCTCTTAGCGTGCCCGAAGAGTTCCAATCTGTTCTTGAGCTCCTTTATGTTCGCATCTTTGGTCTTGTCGTCGCCGACCCGCTGGGAGTAGTTGGTGGCGTGGTGGTACAGATTACCCAGCTTCGGCGATTGCTGGGCGACTTCCAAGTCCAGGACGCCCATGTACTTCTGGGCGTCGGCTTTGCCGCCTAACGCAGCGGAGCCCAAACTGATCATGCTCTCGGCGTCGTCCCTCTTGCTGCATGTCACAGGCTCGTCAAGGTTGAATGTTGCCGTCTGCCTCGGGGTGCTTGCGACATCGCCCATGCCGACGTCGCCCAACGTCCCAACGTCCCTGCCATCATGATGTCGCCAGGGCCCCCCTCGCGCTCGCGAGGCAACGCGCCACTCGAGCAAGGCTGTCCAAGCGAGGCAGCGAGCCTCTCCATCGCATCCAGGTTGCCGTCGCGCGCCGCTGGCGTCATCGGAGCATCTGCAGCCGACGACGCTTCCCCACGCATCTGCATCCTCATGGCCCCTGGCGTAAAAGGCATGGGCGCGCCCGTGGCCACCACCTCGCTGCTGCCCCACTCGTCCATGGTGAAACCTAGCGGGCGGAGCTTCGGCTCACCATGCGCATCGAACAAGCTCGCTGGGAGGGAGTTCATGCCATCGGCGAAGCTCTTCCAAGGAACCTTGAGGCGCGACATCTCCTTCTTGGCCGTGTCCGCGGCCACATCCTTCGCCTGGTCCTCGTAGTAGTGACGGTCCGACGGCATCATGGGCGTGTTGATCTCCGTCGCGAGGCCTGCGCTGACTTCAACCATCCTGAAACCGCTCCACGGCACAGGCCTGTAGAGCCACACCTTCTCGAACTCCATGCTGCCGTCCTCCTTCATGGCCATCATCGTCGGGTGCTCGGGCTTGGGAAACCGCTGCGTCATCTTCTTCCCGTGGACCTTCTCCCACTCATCCTTGTTCACGGCAGTCGCCAGACGATGCGCTCTGCAACCCCACTGGGCGACATGCCCGACGCTCTGTGGTAAGCCCCACGGCCTCGCATCGGTGCCACGCAAGTTGCCGTTGCGCTCGACCTGGTCCATCTTGGCCCGCTGCTCAGGCTCCTTCACGCGCTCGCACGCGTCACTGATGCCGTTCTGCGGGCAGCCCTTCTGGTAGATGCCCAGGTGGCGTTGGCAGATCATGACCCTCTTCATTGCAGCGGGGTCAAACACGACGTGGCCAGGATTCTCCTGTGGAGAAGCCGACACAATACGCCATGTTTGGCCACGCCACCGATCATCAGACCCACGATATCATCCCCCTGGACAGAATGGCACCGCATCCCCTGGAAGGAAGACTCCCCAGGGATGGAAGGTCACGGAACTTGGGTCTAGAGTCTAGGGCCCCCTCCGGTCAGATCGGAAAGGTTCGGGGCCGTTCGAGAATTAAGACCTCAGGGTCTCAGGCTCGATGTGTCTCTGTGAGATCCAGACTACGAGAATGCGTATCTTAGGGGCTTTATGTCGTAGTGCACATGGCCTAGGGTCTCAGTCGAAGTACTGTGTTGGGGTCCATTTATGGGGGCGCGCGTTTGCAGATCCCCGACCAGTGCTTGCTCTGAACCCAAGAGGGGTTCCCCACAAAAGGGGAGGGCGGATGTAAAACTTTACTCCCAGGGGGGGGGGGGAATAAAACTTCGAACCTCAAAACGGATGCGGACGCATCTCGCGCGAATCTGCCAACGCGTTTCGGTGCTACTCGTGGCAAAACAAAATTTTCTGAATGCGGAAGGCTACCACAGATGGCCGAGAGCACGCCTTGCACGAGAATGCGCAACGCGTTCTGGCACCAACCGTTGCAAACATGTATGCTGAATCCCGTGCGCTACAACTGGTGGCCGAGAACACACATCTCAAGTACCCCCTGCGAACGCGAAGCAATGGATCCCCCCCCCGATGCCGAAACTCAGCGAATTCTGATGGGCACGTATTCTGAGAGTAATTGCAAGCACGTCCGACCGCAGCCATCGAAGAGATGGCCCACACAGACAACGAACGAACATCCAAATGCAAAGCCGATGTTTCTGTTAGTTACTTTGCGAAACACACTTTTCTGTGCCCCCGAGGTGGAGTGTGGTCTGAGGGTGGGTGGGGTGTGTGGGGGGGGGGGGGGGGCATCTTACTCTGTGAGCTCCCGACATGCGGTGACGTTTTCGGCCACAGGAAAATATGCGAGCTATGTCTAAACGTTCGTAGCTCTTTGTTCGGGGAACGACCCTCTTCTCGGAAAACCAAATCCCGCGCCACTGGCCCAGCCCACGTTCCAACTCACCGTCTCAATTAGCCTGGCGAAGGACCCAACCATATGCAAATGTTACCATCGTTGCGTGCAACGCATTCGGAGGAGCCCCATATAGTGCAAACGTGTGAAGGGGTGTGCCAAAAAGTTGCGCGGTGGATGCATGCGAAAGCAGCCACTGGGGCCGTTGGTAGAATTCCCTATGGGGCCACGCAGCGCGTGAGGGGTCCGCCGAAAAAGGTGCGGTGGGCGCATGCGCACGTAGCCACTGGGGCCGTCAGTGGAGTAGCCACCATGCGGACGGCACCATTGGGACCCCAGGTGGAGCCCCCCATGGGGCCACGAAATGCGTGAGGGAGGGCTGAAATTGGGCGGCGCCGCCATGCGGACGGCGCTATTGGGAGCTCAGGTGGATCTCCCTATGTGGCCACGAGACGTGTGAGGGGCGTGCCGAAATGGAACGGCGCCGCCATGCGGACGGCGCCACTGTGACATTGGTCGGAGACCCCTTATCGGGCCACGAAGCGTGCGAGGGCTGTGCCGACATGGGGCGGCGCCGCCATGCGGGCGGCGCCACTGTGACCTTAGGCCTTAGGTGGGGCTCCCTATGCTAGCAACGAAACGTGTGAGGGGTGTGCCGAAATGGGGCGGCGCCGCCATGCGGGCGGCGCCATTATGACCTTAGGTAGAGCCCTTTATGTGACATTGAAACGCGTGAGGGGTGTGCCGAAATGTGGCGCTGCCGCCATGCGGGCGACGCCACTGCGACACTCGCTGGAGACCCCAATCGGGCCACGAAACGTGTGAGGGGTGTGCCGAAATTGGGCGGCGCCGCCATGCGGACGGCGCCATTGGGACCTTGGGTGAAGCCACCATACAGGGCCACGAAACGCGTGAGGGGTGTGCCGAAATGTGGCGGCGCCGCCACGTGGACGGCGCCGCTGGGATCTTAGGTGGAGCCCCCCATGTGGCCACGAAACGTGCGAGCGGTGTGCCAAAATAGGATGGCGCCGCCATGCGGGCAACACCATCTGAACTTTTGGTGGAGCTTCTTATGGGGCCGCGAAACGTGTGAGGGTGTGCCGAAATGAGACGGCGCCAACATGCGGACGGCGCCCCTGGAACATTGGGTGGGGCCCCCCTGGCCCTAGCCACGAAACGCGTGAGGGATGTGCCGACATGGGGCGGCGGCGCCATTCGGACGGCGCCATTGTGACCTTCGGTGGAGCTCCCCATGGGGCCACGAAGCGTGCGAGGGGCGTGCCGACATGGGGCGGCGCCACCGTGCGGAAGGCGCCAGTGGGATCTAAAGTGGCGCCCTCTTTATGGAGCCACGAAGCGCGTGAGGGGTATGCCGACATGGGATGGCGCCGCCGTGCGGGCGGCGCCAATGGGACCTTGGGCGGAGATCCATATGGGGCCGCGAAACGCGTGCCAAAATTGGGCGACGCCGCCGTGCGGACGGCGCCATCGGGCCAGTGGGTTGACGTCTTGTGCCTTGTGGGGCCACGAAACGTGTGAGGGGTGTGCCGAGATTGGGCGGCGCCGCCATGCAGATGGCGCCATTGGGACCTCAGGTGGAGCCCCTCATGGGGCCACGAAGCGTTTGAGAAGTGTGCCAAAATGGGCGGCGGCGCCATGCGGACGGCGTCACTATGGCTTCAGGTGGAGCTCCCAGTATGGCCAAGAGGCGTGTGACGAGCGTGCCACAATGAATGCCGATGAGGGTGACGGTAACAGCGAGGATAAGGATGAGGGTGATGGTGATGATGATGACGATGTTGGTGATGATGATGGCCATGTTGATGTTACTGATGTTCATGATGATCAGGATGTTGGTGGTGATGATGATGATGCAATTGACGACGAGTGCGATGACGGTGACGATGACGGTTGATGATGGTGACATTGTTGATGATGCTGATGTTGGTGAAGATGAGGATGCCAATGACTATGATGATGATGGTGATTCCGACAATGATGATGAAGATGGTGGTGATGGTTGTGTTGTTGTTGCTGGTGTTGATGGTGATGATGATGGCGATGCTGATGATGATGGTGTTGCTGCTGATGGTGATGGTGATGGTGCTGATTGTGATGATGATGATGATTGTGGAGAAGGGGTAGTGGGATGAGGGAGGAATGGGGGAGTGGGACGCGGGGCTGCCTCTCCAAAACGAGGATCCAACACCACAGGATTGTTGGGACAACTATCCTGCCTTTTTGCATACCGACTGTCCCCAGTGAACTTGCACATGTCCCACTGGCACAAGTTCTTGGAGGCGTCAGCGTTGCTCATGTTACTGATCGTCTGGACGGCGGCCGGCATGGGAGGCGAGGGTCTGATACTCGATGCAGCCTGCATGTCAAGCTCCTCCGCCCTGGTACGAGTCTGCTTCACAACCTTCCCGCCCGAAGAAGCCGCCGTCTGCGCCTCGCTCAGGGCACTCGCCCCCTCCAGGAGCTCATCCGTCTGCTTAGAGGCCTTCCTCTTAGAACCCCCTGAGGTTCTCCTGGACATGGCGGGGCGCAGGGCAGTCGTCCTCTCGAGCTGGGCTGAGGTAGCTGCTTGCACTCGCCGCGGGGGAACTGTTGGCCCTGCTCCTCTGAAACTGGTTTGGGTCAACATGGCAGCGGAATGAAACGCTGAACGAAGAAAGAGCTTCCGAAGCTGAAGGTCCCTGGAACATTCGAGCGGCAGCGACAGACTGATCCACGGAGCAACACCTCTATGGGCAGATGGAGGCGCGGCGACGAGAAAACCTCCAGATGGGAACAATGAGCAACAACGGGTCTGGCCCCTGGGCATTGGATGGACCACATGAGGGGTCCTCTGAAATTGAGGGCTGGGGGCATAGGGATTGGGGCGGAAAAATCATTGTCACTGTCTGCCCAGAGTGGGCGGTGCCCTATGGCGCAGCATGGATGGACGCGCTTGGCCCACGATGGAAACAACATTCGTTCCCAGAAGCACGCTCTGACGCCAGGGACAAACCATGCCACGGCACACTGTATTATGAGACACATAACGTGATACGTTGCAGACGGCCACCTATATGGCACCAATATTTACTATGCACGTGCGGTGTACCACGACACGTAAAACATTACACAACGCACACGCGCGAACCACACCAAACGCACGATGCAAGCATGCTCTAGCAAATGACAACGTATTTGGCGATGGGAATGTACGCGCAGGCTGTGTCATAGAACCTGGTTCCTATCTCGCAGTCGCGAGGGGTCGTCGGACTGCCTCACGTCCCCCGCATGCGCGCGCCGGAATGTCGACCGCCATTCTCCCAGAACCAACGGGGTGCAACATGTGAGGGGCCGCGCAACGGGGCCGTGAGATGACCGCGGTGGGGGGCGATGCCGATGCCGAGCGGGCGGGCGCAGTATTATTAGCATGGCGATTGACCACACCATGTGCAGTTGTGAGTGCCATCGCTGCGCGGAACGCATTCGAAGGACCTCCTTGTAGGGCCACGAAGCTTGTGACGGGTGTGCCAAAATTGCGCGTTGGGCGCATGCGAAAGCAACTCTTGGGGCCCATTGGGGCCGTCGGTGGAATTCCCGATGGGACCACGAAGTGTATGCAGGGGTCTTCCGAAATATGTGCGGTGGGCACATGCGAACGCAGCCATTGAGGCCGCCCGTGGAGTCGCCACCATGCGGACGGCGCCAGTGGGCATTGCGACCCCAGGTGGAGGCCCCCATGGGGTCACGAAGCGTGTGGGGGGCGTGCTGAAATGGGGCTGTGCCGCCATGGGGGCGGCGCCATTGAAACCTTGGATGGAGCTTCCCATGGTGCCACGAAGCGCGCGAGGGGTACCAAAATGTGGCGGGGCCGCCATGCGGACGGCGCCATTTGGACGTTGGGTGGGGCTCCCGATAGTGCCACGAAGCGCGCGGGAGGTGCGTCGAAATGTGGCGACGGCGCCATGCGGAC